GTTAGGAGACTCAAAATTAGTTCCTTCCTGGAAGTATCTGTTGCTTGGTCAGATCTAATGACATCACTATTTAGTGTCCTTGAATTGAGTATCATTTCCCTGAATGAAGTGCATTCTATGGTGGTGTGTGTTTATGTTTGAGAATCTTTGCAAGAGGAAAAGAGGAAGGGAAAGAAGGGAGATGTCGTTTATTCAGACAGGGTTTCTCTGTGTAGCCCTGGCTGTCCTGGGACTTGCTCTATAGAAGGCTGGCCTTGAACTTAGAGATCCACTTTTATTTGCCCCTAGAATGCTGGGATTAAAAGTGTGTGCTACTACTCCAGGTTGTAACTCCATTTTATAGGAACAGATTTTAGCAGCTTAACAAAGTTTTATGTTTTCATGATGATGATGATGGTGATGGTGATGATGATGATCATGATAAACAAGGACAAAGAGGAAGGAGCATGTGGCATTCCACAAGGGAATGAGAGAACATTGACAAATAAGAGATAACATGTGCTGATTATAGACATTTCCCCTAAAGCACTACAGATTTGATAAGCCGAAGACCTTTGTATTCACTGAGGCTTCGTATCAAAGGTTCATTTTCAGGCTGGGTGTGGTAGAACATATGTGAAATGGTTAAGTAGAGGCAAAATACTAGCCCTGTCTACATTGTGAATTCCAGACTAGCCAAGGCTGGTCTAACTAATGCCAAAAACCAACAACAGCAACAACAGCAGTAACAACAGAACAAAATGAACAACAGAAACAACTTTGTTGGCTTATTTGATACTATAGGGGCATGGCGTTTCTTTGCCAGGCTTCTCAATGAGACAGAGTAATGCAAGTATGGAAAGGATCCTTGATGGGCTTGTCAATGTGCAACATGAGATTCTGTGTTATAGGACTCCACTGCACAATTTCATCATCCAGCATACTTACATATCAATTATTGGGATCTTTTAAATAGTCACTCCAAATGATCTAGAAACACATGAGCTTTTACCATTAAGCCTGGAAATGACATTTTTGTGAAAAATCGAAGTAGAAAAATCATGATACAGTTATGTGTGATACACATATCTTTAATCCTAGCTCTCAGGAGACTGAAGCAAAAATACTGACAGGAACTCAGAGACAGGTTGGTGTACATAGTGAGTACCAGGCCATCCAGCACTATTTAATTTATGTGATAATGCCATGAAAATAGATATCGGCAAGCTTATTAGTTGTATATATTTAAGATTCATTTTTAAAATACTTATATCCCTTATGGAAAACACTGAAAATAGTAAATGGGGCAAGAAAAGAAATTCAGCCAGTTTCCAGGTAAGAAAATTTCTTCCATATTAGCTAAATAAGCACTTGTAAAAGCATTGGTGTCCCCAAGTGTCTGTGTGTGTGTGTCTGTGTGTGTGTGTCTGTGTGTGTGTGTGTGCGTGTGCGTGTGTGTGCATGTGTGCATGGGCACGTGTTTGTATTTTAATGCCTTTCACAGATCTTTAAAAAGAGTGTATGTTAATTACTAGATACATATACATATTGTGAATAATAAACAACTATCTCTGCCTCTTTCCACTTCTGATTTTACTGCAATCCAATGATAGAACTTCTGCATAGTGATGCAATAATTTAACAGTATGGAGCACCCTGGGTACAAATGATCAGGGGTTCCCTGTTGTGTGGAAATTTAAAATTGCTGGTAATAAGGCTGCTTAGAAGGTCTCTGGCTTTTTATTACTGTAGCACTGGCAGTTGAGAACACCATTAGTGTTAAGGAAGGCTACTTCATCACTGTTCCTCACCCAGCTCTTCCTCATTAGTAACCTCCATCACAGTTCTGAGATGAGTCTCCCCAGTAGGATTCCTTTAGGAATGAGGAAAGTCTCCTAACTGTTCATAAATGTTTGCTACTAAATCATGACTCTCTCTTTGAATTTTAAACAGCAGAAGATGCAGTTTCCTTATCTTCTTTCACAAGGCAGGACTTTCCTTTAAGTCTTACTAATTTCCTACTAGTAATCGCTTTGATTTTTGCCTCTTGGATTGGAATGCAGGGATTGTCTTAAGCAAACAAATAAATATGAAAGGCAGAAGCATTGCCATTTGGCTAAATATCAATCCAATATTCACTCCCGAAAAATCCATAATGGAAAACATCAGTATCAGAGGGGTCATATTTCCGCTGGCAGAAACTCGGGAGTGTTTGATAGTAAGAGCAAACAAGATGCTTCTGTTTTGGACAGGCAGAGAGAGGTGGAGAAAGTCCAAAAGTCCAAGTCACCCAGCTGAGCAGTGACCCTGAACACTCACAATAGCCAGGCTCTCCACTCCTCTGCATCGCTGTGCTCCCACTCCAGAGCTTGGGCGTGGCATGCCTACTTCTTTACAAATCGGAAAAGGCAGCCCTGGTCACTGAGTCCTAAGAGTAGACTCAGAACTCTGGATCATTTTACTCTTAAATTTATTATTATTATTGTTATTATTATATTTATATCATATTAATATTAGCATTATTATTATATTTCTTTGATTCTGTGTATATGAGTGTTTTGTTTGCATGTACATATGTGCACCACCCGCACACCTATGAGCAACCGTGTGGGTGTTAGGAAATGAATCCAGATACTTAGCAAGAACAGGACCCTCTCTTCATGCCTGTCCTCTATAGCTTACAAGGTTTCCTCACTAGCTATTCATATGGAGACTTTTCATCTGTGTGTATTTTCGTGTATTTTTCAGCCCATTTTTTTTTCTCTTAGCTATTGGTGATTTAGTCCAGTCTTCTCACATGCCTGGAAGATTGTAGTGCCTTTGGGAATTTAGTAGGAAAATCATGAAGGATTTACGGAGAGCTTGACACTTAAGGTTAAGATGGATCACCCCAGTTTGGATAATTTCTGGAGTTTTATGATGCTGTCATCAGATAGTGGTCTATACCCATTTCCCCTTATTCCATATAAATGTAAACCTTCTGGGCTCTCATTAAAAGCCCAACTGTTTGCCAGGGTCAGCTTTTCCTTAGGAAAATCTCGACTGCAACTTTCCTAGTGAGTGTCGACAGTGTTTTAGGTTCCCCCCTTCTCTGTTACATGTGTTAGATTTTCTCATTGCTCACTGATTTCATGTGGATTCCATTTTCTGTGTGATCAGGACTCTGTAGGCCTTTTTACTTTGGTAATTATGAGCTGAGGGTTCTTTTTTTAATCTTTTGAGATTGAAGGACACTTCTTGACCACTGTCACTGTTAGGCCTCAGTCAGTGTCTTGCCCTGTTAACTAGCAAATGAGAGCCATGGGAGGGGAAACAAGGGCAGAAACTCTCCTTGTCTTGATCTTGGTCCCACAAGCATTGGATTTGACCTGTATTTTAAAAGTTGTTTTTCTCTGCCAAGATCAGTTTTTTATATGATGGTTGGTTTAATGCAAAACAGTGTAGTCTGAACCACACGTCAATTTAATTAAAAAAACTTCTATCTTAAGTGTTATTAAAAGGTTTAAAATATAAAAGTACAGTTTCACTAGAAAAATTCACCAGTTTTCTAAACTTATGTAAGTAGTAAAATATAGATATTACTCATCTTGGGAAATCTGGAAGTTTTCATTTAGTTTACTCTCATGTTGAGTATTTTCAACTTTGGTGTAGATGGGAGCCATTCTGCCTTTTGCTTTTCCTTTTCCTGTCTCCTATTTTTTCTTCTATAAGACAGGGTCTTTCTATATAGCCCTGGCTATCCTGGAATTTTCTCTGTAGATCATGCCAGCCTTGAACTCACAGAGATCTGCCTGCCAAGTGCTGGGATGTGCTACCACCATCTGGATTGAATAAACTTTTCTAACTTTTTTTTTGTAGGGCCCATCAGGAAACCTAATTTTCAACATTGTCTTAATGAAACTCTATGAATCAAAACTACATATACTATGTTCTGTGATTAAGATGGCAATGCTAAAAGGGGACTATTGGGACTTCTGTTTCTTGATTTTAGAATTTTACAAAGCCCACCAAGGCTTTGAAACACGCTGCAAAAGTTTAACTCTGGGAAACCTAACAGAGTCTGTGCACTTCTGAATCTAAAAATTTAGTTAGTTAGTTAGTTTTGGAATGTGTATGTGTGTGTGGCTGGGTGTATGCATATGCATCACATATGTGCAGAAGACTGTGGAGGCTGTTGGATCCCATGGAACTGAAATTACAGGTGATTGTCATCAGCTGAGAACAAAAAAAACCTAACCAGGAGCAGTAAGATCACTTAACCACCAGGCCATCTCCCCAGCTCCATGTTTCTGTGTCTAAAGGCTAAAACATAGTTTCAAGTAACACTGTAAATTTAAACAACTATGTGAAATTTAGTAGTGAGGTGTTCTGATATATGTATAAATTACACATTTAATCTATTTATGTTAAACATGATTGTTAAAAATTATAATCTTTTAAATATGGAAATATCAAAATTTATAGTCATAATTGAAACAAAATATAAGACTCTTAAAACATCATATTAATTATAGTTGTTTTGAAAAAAATTTTACTTTTGTAGAGTATGTTGGAAGAAGTGCCATGTTAACCTTTTTGGACTATATATGAATTAATTTTTTCCCATTCACTAGTCACATTGAAATTAAAGATTGTCCCTTAGAAGCCAATCACAATTTCCTCTTTCCAGTCATGTTTTTAAGTATGTATTTCAACTACTAACAACTGAATTTTTAAAACTCTGAAGCTCATTTCCAGAATTAAATATTTCTTTGTCTCAAAGCCACAGGCTTCCAAGGACTTAGTTTCACAATAATGCATAGGTCTACAGAGTTTTATTTTTTGTTTTTAGAGTTATATGAAGAAATTGAAGCTCTTAGCTATGTAACATTGCAAGAAATAATGTGACCCAAGGAAGGCATTCACCAGCAATCTTTAAAAGGTGGAACTCTCCTTCTTCCCCTTTTGCGTAGGTTGGGCTTGGTGGCTTCTTTCCAGTCAGTAAGAGCAGGGTGCAGATGAGGCAAGCTTGGGGCATAAGGCAGTCTGAGTCTCTCTTGCATTACTCTGGAGGAATCCAGTGGCTACCTCATGAGGTCACCCAGCAGCTTACATAGTGCTCACTGGAATGAGGAGCTGAGGTCACCTACCAACTGCCATGTGAATGAACCATCTTGGAAACACATTTTCCTTCCCACCAACTGCAGACATCTCCTGCCTGGAGCCAAAAGAGCCTGTTAGTGAGCACCTGCAGGCTTTGCCTGTAGATTCTACATCCTCTTCAGCTACTCAATAAAGATGTCACTGTTTCAAGTTTAGAGGATAATCTGTTGTGCAGTAACAGACAGCAGATACAGTATTATTTTCCAAGAAGTCTGGTTTTTCCTGCTGAGAAAATTTAACTCCTGAAAATGATTAGTTTTAGTCATCAATTTTTCTTATAATAATAGTCTGTTCATAATGTAGTAATTTGTCAATATTCTTCAGAATATGCTATGCCAATACAATTATTTTATGACTGTAAACTACCTAAATCATGTAAATATATAAAAATGTAAAAGATGAGCAAAATTTTATTTATCAGCCTGGTATTTTAATGCTTTTGATTTTAAGGTATTTACCGACATAAAGGTTTACCATCACATTATGCCTCAATTTCATATTTCTTGTTCTGATATATTTTTTTGCACATGTGGATATATTAAAGTAGTCAGTCCTTTAACGTAAGTTCTATGCAGAGCCATTTTCTAAATTAAACCTAAAGTCACAGAAAGTATATCCCTCTCCTAGTATTCCACAGTACTTATGTTCTGTCTCACTTCGTCATTTATATTCACTGCTAAAGGGTTAATTTTTGGAGAGGGAAAATTGTTCCAGTCTGTCAATTTAATGACATGTATGATGCTTCAGTCGTGTATTAACTGGAGTCCTGTAAATGCTATACATGGCATGGTCTCCACAGACTTACATGGCTTTCCCAACTGTTCAGTATCTAATGTAGGAATAGATGTGTCATAATTTGTAAGTGTGGCCCTCACCTCTCTGGACTGTGATCATCTGTTGATTTTATGTAGACTGACAGTCTCAAAGGTAAATTAGGAGAAGAAAATCAACTTTGTGTAATTTTAGCATATTTGCGCGGTGCCTGCCAAGAACTATACCCACACACGCTCCAAGCATGATATAAAGCTATAGTCTGTTCAGGTGTCACATTTGAGAGGATTCACTTGAAATGACTTTAATTAAGAACCTAAGAAATAGAACTCTACAGGGGTTTGTCCTCAGCCATCTGCTCTTTAGGTTAATATTTTTGTGGGCTATTTTTCTGGAGTACAATATGAAGCCTGTTCCTTAGGTATTTTTATTTAATAAATGGCTCAGGAAAGAGTAGCAAGTCCCTAGAAGTCAGGATTAAAATAAAAATAATGATTTGTTTGGCCAAAAAGTATTAGCAATGAGCAGGTGCAAACTCATTATTATAGCTTTAGAAAGAACTTTAAGCCTGTACACAGGAATGAAACCTAGATTCTGGGTAAGTTTACCTAAATTTGTGTCCAAGCTCCACCCCTTGGCTTTATTCTATATGAGGGGGATGGTACTGTGATCCTCAAAGAATACTTAAATTGACTGTTAAAATATTGTGTTGCATAAGGATAGAAAGTAAATCTCCAGTTCCAAAGGTTAGGTTTTAATTCAGCTACAGCTGTTGCCTTTAAAAAAACAAGCAAAACAAAACAAAACTGCTTCATTGTGTGGCCTGTGACAGAGAGGAGAAATGAGGAAATGATAACATTTGTGCTGGATGGTTTTTCTTCAACTTAACACAAGTTAGATTCATCTATGAGGAGAGAACCACAATTAACAAAATGCCTCCATAAAAGCAGCCTGTAGGCAAGCCTGTAGGACATTTTCTTAATCAGTCATTGATTTCAGAAGGTCAGCCCATGGTGGGTGGTGCCCTCCCTTGGCTTGTGGTCCTGGGTTCTTCAAAAAAAAAAAAAATGCAGACTGAGCAAGCCATGAGGAACAAGCCAGTAAGCAGTACCCCCACCCTATGACCTCTGCTTCAGCTCCTGCTTCCCAGTTCCTGCCTTGTTTGGGTTCCTCTCCTGACTTCCTTCAGTGAGGAACAGTAACTTGAAAGGGTGAGTCAAAGAAACCCTTTCCTCCCCAAGTTGCTTTGGTCATGGTATTTCATCACAGCGATAAGATAACATCCAAAGCCTAATAAATGAGAAGGGATGTTATAAAGAGATAGTGAAGAAATTATTTTCAGATAGTGAAGAAAAAAAATTCAGCATTAAGATAATGAGGATGATTAAGCTGGAACCATTGTGAGCTGAGGACCACAGAGGGATACTCCAGTGATATCTCAAGGTCCCTTTGTTCTTACAAAAGTTACATTATTCTCCCTGTGCTTCCTTGAAACTTGCACATTTATGTTTATAGAACAGTTTTTATACCCATGGGTAGCTGGGCCAGTTTGACTCTTCCTGAGTTCTACTTTAATCTGTTTAAGTAGTGTGTATTCAAATACACTCATTCCTTTGTGAAGTCTGAACAACTACTCATTCTGAAAATAATCACCTGATGTTCATATTTTCCCTTCTGCTGGTGTGTGTGTGTTGTATATATGGCTGTTTGTCTAATGAAGGCCCTAGAACAGTGGTTCTCAACCTGTGGTTTGTGACCCCTTTCCAAGCCTCTTTCTCCAAAAGTATTTACATTTCAATTTTTAACAGTAGCAATTATAGTTAGGATATAGCAACAAAAATAAATTTACAGTTGGGTTTCACCACATGAGGAACTGTATTAAGGTTTGCAGCATTAGGAAGGTTGAGATCAACCACCCTAGAATATACTGACTGTCCCGCACTGATAGTCTTACAATTGTCTTTTTATTGTGGTACATTTAAATGACTTCTGTGTGGTAGTTTCTAGAAGGCGGGGAAGAATAGCACACATTTACAGGCATTTTACATTAAAACTGACAGAATGAAAAAGGCGAAATATTTTGATACTTGAATTCTCATTTTGATTATTGTCAGGGAAACCCACTAGGTTTGAGATTACAAGTGTCAGTCAAAGTCCTCGGAACTTGTCTAATACAAATGAATTTGCTGATTAAACATAACTGAGAATCATGACATTTCTAGGTTTGCAAAGCCATAGTGAAATAATAGAAGTTCAAAACAGTACGAAACACATTTGACACAATTCTGGCGGTATTCACCTGGAAGCCGCTCCACTATTTCTTACTTGGATCTTTGTGTCAATGCTGTTAACATTGCCACATCCTGTCAAGGTTTTTTATCTGAGGCCCTGTTGGTAAGCAATTCACTTCTTTATAGCAGAGCTAGGATACTTTCCTGGCTAATCTTCTACTGTACTGGTATTGCGATAGCTAATGGCCTAACTTAATAGGGGAAATACAGACATATAATATTAAGTGTATCAACACACATACTATCTGGATAGTGCTGAATTCACAGATGGAATACAACCTTGGATATCATGATTAGTCACAGTAGATATAATCTCCTTGCTGGTAGTGAGCATCATTATTTCTGTGATTGTGTTTTCTAGGTACTTTAAATGTTACAAGCAGGGAAGCCCAGGAGAGTTATCATATGACTACCTCTGTAGATGCAACATACCAGTCATACCAGTGGCTGCTCCTTATGTTTCAGGGGAGACAGAGATGGGCATGGCTGGTCTTTGTAGTCATTTATCAGGTGTTGGGAATTGCAACAATTTCCAGAAAGAATGAAGTACTGTCCATGATCTGTGTTCATGCCCAGAATCTTCTATACATTCACAGTGGAGTGTTCCAGAGACCCTAAACTTAATACCTCCTCAAGTGAACTACTTATCTCTACCTCCTAACTGAAGCTTGAATTTGTTTTCTCAGTAGGATAATGTTATCACCATCTAGCCACACATTCAGGTTACTAACTTAGAAGCCATTTGTTTAATGTTTTTTTCTCCCCTTTATTTTCCCATAACCTCATGTGAAATTTTCTCAGGACTAATTAATTCTTTCACTCACATATGTCTAATTGATTCTGTATTCACTGCCCTTGTCACTTGAGTTGTTAGGGTCTGATCCTGGACTCTAGTACCCTTAAAAAATAGACTCAGCTCACTGTCCTCAGGATGCCAATTGAAGAGACACATTACAGTGAAAATCAGATAAAGGGGATTTATTCAAAGTGACCACACTGGGGAGAGGAATAAATATAGACCCTATTCTTTATCTGTGAAAACTGAGCTCCTTGCTTGTTTGATTTCTCCTATAGTTCGGAACAAACTCACGTGTTTTTGATAAGACCTGGTGCTAGGGAGTGCTTGAGGCATCTTTCTTTTCTTTTTTTTTTTTTTCTCCAGATTTATTTTGGTAAAAAAAAATCAGATATAACCTTTCAAAAATTACATTAATGTTTAACATGAACTTCATTTAGTGGCTGGTTAAGTACTGAGCTGAACTCAAGAAAGCCAGTAACAGAGAGGGAGGACTGATGATCAAAGGGATTAAGACTGGGCTGGTTTAACCCCCAGAAACAGCTGACCAGACAAAGGTTAACTCTTGAATCCCAGGCATCAGCCTGGGAATCCAGCATGGGACTGATCAATACCCCCTGAATTTGGGTGTCAGTGAGGAGGCCTAGGGAATCTATTGAGCCTTGGGCAGCAGATCAGTACCCATCCCAAGTATACACACGGACTTTGGACTCCCATAGAACAATGTGAGGTGCACTCTTACCCTGAACTCTTGGGGAAGGGTCTAGGCCCTGCCCTATATGAAATGACAGACTATGGACACCCCCATGGAGGGCCTCACCCTCCCTGGGGGAATGAGGGGATAAGGGGGGGGTTGGGGGGAGGGCACGGGAGGATGGGAGGGAATGGGAGAGGGACCTGGAACTGATTTGTGAGGCATCTTTCTTTGAGCCTCATGTCATCCAAGCACAGAGTGTGAGGACCGTGTCAGCAGTTATCATAGTGTGTACCCACCTCCAGTACCAACAGCAGCACCCAGGGCTCCTGAGAAATGCCTCTTGAACTGCCCACATACCTTCAGAATCTAAAACACAGGGGCAGATCACCAAGACTGGCACTCAGAGTCCTGGATCACAAATTTCTGAGAATACAATTGTTGTGGCTTCAAAGCATTTTCCCCAACCAGCAGAGCTGACACCACCCAGAAATGATGGTCTTGACTTCCTGACCCTGAGGTTCTACTTGAGTCCTGTGATTTTTGCCTGAGGGCCAGTGTTTAAACAGGAGTGTTTTTAACCAGGAGAAATTTGGAAACAGCTGTGGGTCTCATTGTAGATGCACAGCACAGTTACCCTGGGAGTTTTTGGAATTGCTAATACCTGGCCTCACAGCCATAACAAGATTTCAATGGGCCTCTTACAAAGTTCTTAAGAGAATTATGTGGAACTAAGGCTGGGAACCAGGGGCCTCAAGCTCCTGAACTTCAGTAAGAAAGTGTTGGAGGAAAGGGGTGACTGAGAGCCAGGATCCAGGGGCCTCCAGCTGTACTCCTACTACCCTTGAGACACAAGTTCACTGGGGTGAACAATAAAGATGCCCCACAGTGAGCAGCAGCATTGGACAAGGATTGGAGATACACTGTCACATTTCCATATGTCAGATGTAAAGCCAGACATGGCTTGTTGTTAGCCATCTTCTTACTGTGTCCCCTTGTGGTAAAAGGAGCCAATGAATTGCCTGGTGCCAAAAATTCAAATTAGATATGTACAAAGTAATGACATTTATAATTTCAAAAGCACAGTTGCAACTGCAAAGAGACTAAAAGACCGTTAATTCTAAAGCCAAATATGAGAGGTCACAGCCCAGGAAAGCTGATTCAGGTTGCCCCAAAGAAAAAGGTTCCAACATGGTAACAGTTTTGTCATCTTTGTATAGTAATAGAACAAAGAAAGTCCTAAGTCAAAGTATTTAAAAATACATTAATGAGAAGACCAGATAGGCAGGTTATAGCAAAACAGAAAAGCTCCCATATAGACATCAGATACTATTTGATGATATTCTTAGCTTTTGGATGGTGGAAGCTACTCTCCAAAAGGATTTTACCAATAGTCATGAGGGTGTAAGGGCCAACACAAGAGGGAGAGAACAAATGGGCATTTAATGAGCTAAATATGGCACAACACATTATGTGTTGCTCACTACCTGTGGACCTGTCAGATTCCATAGATGTGCAGCTTTTACAACATATATGAAGATGCTACCCACATTTAAACTCACTGATGGGTCTTTCCTTCAGTTATCTTTATATAAAAAGCACTCACATCTGAGCAAATGAGAGAGCTCAGGGATTTACAGTACTTGCTCTTCTTTCAGAGTACTAAGGTTCGGTTCCCAGTCCCTACATCAAGTGTCTCACAACCACTTGTCAATCCAGCCCCAAGAGATTTAGCATGTCTGCCTTTCTGGATACTCTGCCCCTCTGGATACATGGTGAACATAAACTCATGCAGGTGTGCACATATACACATAATACAAAATGAAAAAACCATTCTTTAAAAAGACACATGAAAAAAAGAACAAAGAGCCAGTCTAGTTCTAGGTCACTGCCTTCCAGTGGCATGAGGTGATGAGAGAAGAAGGGGGTACCCTCAGCTTCATCTGACCCCATGCCAGCACATCAGTCTCTGGGGGTCCCTATCAAATTGCTCCATCACTTTGGCCTCAGCATGAAGATCAATTGTAATATGAGCTTTGCTCGATGGGACTGTGCTCTTTCTGAAGATTGCAGGGTAGGGGGCATAAAAAATGTTGTTTATTTTTATTTTGCATTTATCAACTATAAAATTACTTTTATACTCAAAACGGAGTACTTAAAACTTAATGTCAGTGCTAAGTATTCCATTGTTCCTGTTTCTTGTTGGTGACCAAGAAGATATAAATCCCTGCTACAGATTCAAGTATGTCAGTGACAAAACATGTGGGAATACAGACTTACATACACACACACACACACACACACACACACACACACACACACACACACACACACACACACACACGTGCGTGTCTGTGTGCATTCATCGCTATTGCTTGCCTTAGGAAAACACAGATTCTTAACAGACCCCACAGCTGACACCTGAATTTGAGATACTTTAAACTTTAAAGTGAGTGATGCCAGAGCTGACGGACATGATAGGCATTCCTGCCTCCCAACCCTGTACTACTAGTAAGAAAGTGTGTGGGTGCTGAGCTGCAAGAACCATAGCCACATGTGAGTTAATAAGTACTCACCGAGGGCAGGATGCTTCATATTGAATGCAACTGTAGTTGTGTCTTTGGACATTAAAAGGCAATCATAGGGCAACATTTACATTTTTCAATAGACCATGACAGTTCTTTGACACTGGAAATCTTTGTTGACTTAATGACAATCTCAGGTATTCCTCACTTGTGGAGGAAGAACAGGGCGTCAGTCTATCCGAGCCCAAGTAGGGTTCTTGAATAGTCTGAAAAGATGCTGAGGCTAAAGACAGTCTTTCAAAACATAACTTCTATTGGTTCCACTTTCAGGTTATCACCCTTATATACTGTTACCCTCTTCTGAATTCGTTCTCTATGTGCACCTACACTAAAACATCAATGCGGGAGGGAAATCTAGTAAACATTCCTATGCTAGTAAAAAGTCAGCAAGTAAAATGTTTCTGACTTAACAGTGGCTTTCACATTTACAAGTCTCTCTCTCCCTCCTTACAGTTCTCTTATGCAATAACTTTTTGTCTGTTATAATGTGGTAAATAGAACTCAGTCTTCTCCATCATGTTATAGAATTTATATGAAAAATGTATAATGAATCACATGTTGACAGGAAAAAGCATTATTAAATTCTGTGGTGACTCAGCATTGTGTGCTATAGAAATGTAATGAAAAATAATATGGGGGCTCTTCTTCAAATAGCCTTGCTTTCTTTATTCATTCCTGCAAAACTGGAAAAGAAGGAAAGCAAAGGCAGATGCCAACTGAAAGTAAACCACCGGAATACTAAGCCCTTCCTTGACCTGACCTGGAAGACGTTGCATATCGAGCATACACAACACATGGTCTTTATTAGCCAGGCATATAGAGAAATAATGGAGGTAATTTTGTACTTTGGCAGTTTGATATGTAATGACAGGAGTATTGTTTTATGACCACTAAATAACTTGACTACATTTCTCTCCTCTAGACTATCCTTTGCATCTTTTCAAACCTTTAGGTGTCAGTTCTCTTGCTGTCCTGAATCTCTTTATTTACAGATAGAGCCTACTTTTGATTGTGATCAGTTTGGTTTTATATGCCTGAGTCACTTTTAGAAGTTGCTTTTAATTTAACCCCTAGCAAAGAGGGTTTGGAGGACCTCTCAGGGAATTTGACCCTGGACGTTCTCCCTCTCTCAGCAGCGTGGACCTCTTACTGTAGGGCTGGAACATTATGGCATTTCCCCATTCATGTTGGCATGTTGACTGATGTTGTTATTGTGCAAGTCTTGTTTAGGTGACCATGTTGTTGAGATTTCCTGAGTGCAGCGCCCTGTCATTTCTAGATGATTCTATCTTGTTCCAGGTGTCCTAAATTTCTGGCTCTTACTGTCTTTTTGTTCTCTTTTTCCTGGCATTCCTGAACCTTATCCTGAGGTTTCATGTGACTCTGTATGTTTCATACCAATTTCTAAATCGATAATTGGAAAAACTTATAGCTAGGTATCCAGTTTTCTACAGTTGAACTTTTATACTCATTTTCACATATGTAATAGCCAAATGTATTTTTCTTAATAAGTTTCTATGGAGGACTGGTCTTTGTTTTATTATTTCTGTTAATATAAGCCATTTTATCATAAGCAATCTAAAATTATCCTAATCAAAAAGTATTTTAATCTAGAAGAGTTGTGATCTCAATAGTCCAGAGACTGGTGCAGAAGAATTGCTGAGTAGTCCAAACACACTCTTGCTGCAGATTAGGATCAGGTCTCAAAAACAAACAAACAAACAAACAGTCAACAAGGAAACTGACACTGAATTTTTTTACTCACTCTACCTTTTCTACATGACTTTCCTTTACTTTTTGCAATCCTGTGGCATACTGTTTTAACATAATACTTTCCAATTGGATTTCTCTCTAACATTTTCTGTATACTCACACATTTTGTTTCCCATGCAGATTTTAGAATCATTGCTCCACGTGTTCATATATCCGATATGTTCACATAAGTAGGCTCTAGTATCTCTTACAACAATCCTAGAGCCGTCATACCATGAATGCTTAGCACTTATCTGTCATAACTAGGGGAGGGCTCTTTATTATACTGGGAACTCTGTAAGATTGGTTTTGTTTCAGTATAAGTAGTCAAAAGAGTTTTCTATTCACTTTAAGATTCTTTTGACCAACCCTAGTAATTTAAACTGTTTAGATTTTATTCAATGTCTGATTAAACAATAGGTCAGTTTTTCTTGTTGTTCTTGTTTGTTTTAACTTACAAACAAGAGCCTATCTTTTCTAACAAAGCCTATAACATGTTTTATGTTCACAGATATATAGTGAGTTAGGAGGCAGTGATCAACCAAGGACATAAGGTGACATGCAGCCATTTATCAAAAAGTCTATCTTAAGCAGAGGAGTAGTGGATTATAGAAGGGGATAGAGGGGAGATGGGTGAAGGAGGGATGGAAAATTGCAGTCATGATGTAAAATAAATAAATAAATAATGATAATAAATAAATAAATAATTTAAAGAAGTCTATAGTACAATAAAACCTGTTTAAAAGCATTAAGGAACATCTCCCAAGAGTCCTGAGGTAGTCTGTAAACCAAATTCATAGGTACAGTCATCCATTTAGAAGTAGTTGTCCAAATAGTAAGCATTAGTCTGATGTAGATCATTGCTACCCCAAATAATAACATTTAAGATAAGTACTCCTCTTTGTACCTTTGCCCTGTGTCCATTCCTGACTGATACTTCTCACTCTGTCTGGCAATCTCAGAACATACTTTATCACTCAGCACCAGTGTGGCACTGCCTGTGCCAAGGCTGCCCAATCACTCTTGTCCTGTGGATGAGTCAATGTGATCCTGACTGTTACAACATCACACTATGAAGTACTGGAGTCTGTACTGTTACTGTCATGAGAACTACCAAGCAAAGAACTTTTAAGAACCAGAGTCTGGCTATAGCTGTGTGGGGGGCACATAGTATGAAATGTATGGGCATGCAAATCAGTGAAGAGACGCAAAGAAAAACTTACCCAAAGGATTCTGAGATGCAGAGGCAGTGGAGTGAAGGTGGGAACCAGCTGGGCAGATAGGAGGAGTGGCAGAAAAACCTGGTAATGATGCAGTCCGTTTCCTCAAGTGTAGAGCCCTTTCTTCTCTCTTCAAAAAGGGAGAGCAAGATAAAGGGATGTTGGGTAACCAGGGAATGTTTACTTGCTACAGGGAAAAGTAAAACTATTAGTAAAACAGTACTAATTAGTAAAAATTAGCGAAAAAGTAAAGCAATAGTAAAACTATTGACTCTAGTGATACCTCTCAGTAGTTTTCCTCTCTTTCGGGTGCTGGAGACACTAATGGAAGCCAGTTTCTCTTTACCATGAAGTCATCAGTGTGTTTCTGATTGTGATATGCAGACGTAAGTAGAAACCTAAAACATTTACAAACTGGTATATATTATTATGTATATTTAAGGTATTCAATGTATTTTTTGAAGCAGGCAAACATTTTATTACATTTCTTCATTTATTGTGTGTGTGTGTGTGTGTGTGTGTGAGTGTGTGAGTGTGTGAAAGGATAACTTACAGGACTCAGTTTTCTCCTTCTACCATACATGTCCTGGGGGCTGAATCACATGGCCAACTTGGCAGCAAGTACCTTTACCAGCTGAACCATCTCGCCAGCTTCCTATGTAATATCTTAATATATGTATTGTACAATTATTGAACAAAGTTAATATATTAATTAACTTCCATCCTTTTAACACTTTGCACTGAGAATTTTAAGCTTTTCATAATAACTTAGAATGTTATTATAATATATTATGATAATGTAATATTATATAATAACTAAATAATTAAAATTATTGATAAATTATTAAAAGCAATCAAATACTTGTTAAAAATTTTGAAAAAGGTAAAAATAATACAAAGTATTATTAGTAAGTTTAATCACTGTGCTGTATAGTAGATCTCAAAAATCTGTTGGTCCTGTATCATGAGAACTTTAAAGAAACTATTCAACAAGTTAAACATTAAAACTTGCAAGAATGTAAGCAATTGTGATAGATTTCAGAAATTATTGTAAAACTAAGACAATATCAAGATTTAAAGTAAGATCACAATTTTTCATCACAAATTATTCATGCTGTATTATGAGCTTGCTTACTTTATCTATTTTTTGAGATAATGTATTGTTATGTAGCCTTTCCCTGTTCTTGAACTCACTATGTAGATCAGGTTGGCCTGGGACTCACAGATATCCACCTTCTTCTGCCCCCTGAATGCTGACAGCAAAGGTGTGTGTCATATTTCTAATTTTATTTACACATGTAAAGATATCATTCCTATGTAGAGAAACAAATCCCCCTTACTCATCCTTTACACTTTCATTTCATAATTAAGATTTCTAAAGGGTAGCCTGAGTATATATCCCATTCCTCTCTCATTCATCCCAATATACTTATACTCTCTCTCTCTCTCTCACTCTGTCTGTCTGTGTGTATACATATACTTATTGAAATCACAGTTGACATTCATGTGAAGAAATTTTTTTCAACTTGTCATGCTATTATATCTCTACAGAGAATCAAAATTTTCAGTAAATGGGTTTTACAAAAACATCACATTATATAATGTCTAGTTCACTTTGAAATAGACTAAATATTTATAGTACTAAGAAAATGTGAAAGTACCTAAACCTATACCGGTGAGCCCATATGGACCAAATATATGGAGTCAATTGAGTTGGTATTTGGGTACATATTTCATCTACATATTTCATCTAATTTTGTCACCAAAATAAGAAAAAAACCCGTATTTTTCTTAATTAAATATAATTTAGTATATATGTTCTATAGCTAAATAAGCCAAGACACTAAGTATTTCAGTTAATAGTTATCCTAAAGTATGGAGATTTATAGATAAAGGATACTGATCATAATTACATATAAGCATTGCTACTTCATCAGAGCTAAAAGAGAACACACAGAAATAGACACTCATGGCAACAGCTGGATAGTATAGAGCCACTTTCATCTGATGTATATTTGTGAACATTTTTTGGTTAGACCCTGTTTTATGGTGACTCCGAAATTCATTGGTTTGTATTGTGATAGTGCAATATGTTTAGGAAGATGTAAATCTCGGCTAGTAATGTGGAGAGAGTGTTCTCTTATGGTGTGCTATGGACATCTTTCCTCTGATCCCTCACTAAATGACAATTCAGTCTAAAAACTCAGCCTCAGAAAAGAAGAATAAAAAGGAAGGTTTATGCTAGAAATATAATCCAGCTTTTAAAAACCATTACTTTAAAAGAAAGGCATTATCTGGATTTATCTTAAATTTTTTAATTGAACCAAGTTATTACTATCACTGCTTTATTTTATCGAATGTATTTAAGTCAAGTTATATTTTATAGATAACAAGATCAAAATGGTTTGTAAATGTTACCATTGGCAAATAGCAAAATAACCAGAAAGTGTTGAATAATTGGTAAAGTAGAAATGTGTGATATAGATTATAATATAAACATAGTTTTTGCAAAAGGATCTAGACCCACAGGTAGGTTGAGAACCACTGTCTAGACCCAGCATCTTAGATGCTCTGGTAGTAAGTGACCTAGGATAATGATGATGGTATTTTCAAAGACAATGTCTTACAAAGATTCTTAAGACAAAGAATCTCAGTGTCATAGCATGTCTGTGGTCAAAGTTTGATCTAGTTTATATATTTGTTCAGTGTGTGATTTTCTTCTATTCCGTAGAGGGTTTTATAAATGCTATAGTAGCATGTATAAAATTTCAGAGAATGTATCTTAATTTCAAGAGCCCTCAGTTTCCAATGCTAATGCTTTTTTTTTTTTGGTTTTTTTTGGTTTTTCGAGACAGGGTTTCTCTGTGGCTTTGGAGGCTGTCCTGGAATTCGCTCTGTAGACCAGGCTGGCCTCGAACTCACAGAGATCCGCCTGCCTCTGCCTCCCGAGTGCTGGGTTTAAAGGCGTGCACCACCAACGCCCGGCATGCTAATGCTTTTTAAGTTAGCTTGAAGCTAAATACTACACTCACTGTTAACATTTTAAACTTGGATCAATCACTATATGATACAATTTTTATCAAATGAATGACACAAAATAGGATAAGAAATCTATTACAACAATATATACGCCAAGACATGTAAAACTAACAGCTCTTATTTAAAGCACTATTTTGGGATCTGGCAGGATGGCATAGTGGATAAGTGCTTGCCACACAAAAAAGAGGCTATTGAGTTTAGATCTTCAGCACATTTGTGGGGAAGAAAAAAAAAACACATAGAGATATTTACATTGTGATGCATAACAGTAGCAAAATTAATTGCAGTTACGAAGTTTCAACAAGAGTAATTTTATGGTTGTGGTCAACACAACATGAAGAACTGTATTAAAGGGTCACAGCACTAGGAAGTTTGACTGGTGTGAAGTCAAACCTAAGAAAATCTCTTAACTATGAGCCCTTATAAATAGAAAATAAAATATTGCAGGGGCTGAAGAGAAGTCTCAGCAATTAAGAGCACTGGTTGTTCTTTCAGAAGAGGCAGGGTTGGCTGCCAGCACCCACAGGACAGTACACAACCACGGGCAACTCTAGTCCCAGGGGATCTGATGCCATCGTCTGGCCATAGCAGGAACTGCAGGAGCATGGTGCACACATATGCATTCAAACACACATACATATAAAACAAAAATAAATAATGTCTCAAAAAAATGAAAAAAGTTACATAGTTACAATATACAGCGATTCAGACAAAAAGTAAAACAAAACAAAACAACAACAACAACAAAAAGAAAACCACCAATATCCCGATTCCAAAAGGAAAAAAATGGGAGAATAGCTGGGAACAAAGCAGAATGGAGCAAGAACAAAATCCGGGAGGGCCAACACCACATTCCTTCAGCTTCATGTCCACCCACTGGAGATCAAAATGAACTCATCTGGACCCCAGAAGGCCTGGATCCACACTTTTTCTGGCCTGGGAGGCTTTCTAGAACCATGGCTCCATGTCTGCCTCCCCACCCCCACAATCCTGCATCTTTCATGCCCGAAAAACCCACCAGCACAAGGATGATGCTGTAAAATTCTCTTGACAGCTTTGGACAGAGCCTGTCTGTCCACTTTGGGCCAGCTGTAGGGACTCTATGTATGTGGGCTGAGTCAGAAAAACCGGTTTCCTACATGTTGTTTTTGATCTTGGATCTTGCCACCAGGTAGCATTTCCTACTTCCCCAGTGCAAATCAGATTTCTTGATAACTGGGCTAGTCTCTACGCAATTTCAGCCTTGTTTTTAGCACCTTCTGTGTCTGCAGCTTCAACCTTTCCATGCTCTTTTCCTTATCAAACTGAAACTGAACTTTTTTTGTTTAAATTTGCTGACCCGTGACTCTTCTAAGTCGTAGATGTAGAGAAAAGTTGCCATTCCACAATCTGAATGTTATCCTGGAAGTAAATTTGTTCATCTGAAGGCATTAGTTGATAAACTTAAATTTAGTGTCTCTGAAACCTGTTGAGATTATCCTCCCTGTGTAGTTTCCTCACCATTTTGTCTTGAAAATTCCACTAGAATATCCATTCACTCTGCTTTCAGAGTTTGAGGGCTATTGTAGTCCAAAGTTCCAAGCTTTTGCACATTCCTCCCACAAACCAGTCCCAAGTGCTTATGAGTCATATGTTCAGGTTTATCACAGCCTGCCCTATTTCTGGTTCCAATATTCTGTCTTAATTCTTTTTCCCACTGACTTATCTAAATATCTGATAAAAAGTAAGAGAGGAACAGTTTATTGTAGTTCGCAATTTAAAAGACACAGTACATGATGGTGGAGAAGACAATGGGTCTGGAGTACAGGCAGCTGCTCATATTGCATCTGCAATTGGGAAGGACAGCAAGTAGGAGTGGAGCCAAACTATAAAGCATCAAGGCCTCCCTCAGTGGCCTACCTCCTCTAGCAAAGCTCCATCCTTTCAAAAGATTCCACAACCTTTCCAAATAATGCCACTCGATGAGGAATAATTGTCCAACTATAGGGGTTTGTGGAGGGAAGAGTTCATATTCAAAGCACAACAATGTTAAACCAAGAAGAAAAGCATTCAGATTGTAGCAGATTCCAAATGGCATTGTAATAATTCACATATTACACTGTATTTTAGTATTTTTAGTTTTCAATAGTTGATTCAGGTAGGCAGGCAGACAGAAAGACAGACAGACAGAATCACACACACACACACACACACACACACATTGAAAATACAATTTTGTAAATGGAAGAAGGCCTATGTGCCATGAGAAGGACAGCAGTAGGAGCATGAATGACAGAAAAGGCTGAAGAGGAGTCAATATTATTAAAGTACATTGTGTACATATGTGAAAATATGATGAAACATACTATTTTATATAATACATGCTAACCATGAAACTAATTTTAAAAATCAAGGCTAAGAGTTTTCTCCTTAATCCCAAATAGCTATAAGGATCCCCACCTATCAGGATCATAGATGGTTGAACCTTAACACAGCCATTTTCCCCAACATTTAATATGCATATTTCTGTCACTGGTGATGCCACTCATTCCAGGATTCTGAAAGTTGTCTGGGAGTACATTCACCACTGAACCATTGCTGTCCCATTGACTGTCAAGTTTTTACCATTATGTCCCTAAATATCACTGTTGCCTGTTATGTGCTCAAAATCCCTGGGGATCTTTCTCTACTCCCATCCCCAGCCTAATGGTGGGGTCTATTTCCTACCTACCATTCTCTGCCCTTCTTTGAGATTTTGACGCCCAAACATCCCTTTCCCTGGTGCTTGTCTTCCTACTGTAAGTGTTGCAGTGGGAGGCACCAGGCAGAGAGGGAGTCATTTCTTTGTCTCTGCTCTCTTCCTGATCAAGCACTTGAGTACTCTCTTGCTGGCTTCCTTAATAATACATACACTTTTGTAGATAAATTCCTTTTTTATAAGTGTCTCAACTGTGAAAGCTGCCAGGAAAATTTGGATGCCTCCCAGAATCTCCTGAACCTATTACGCTTCAATGTTCCATCTTGCTTACTTGCAACAGATTTTGAGTCTTCTTCATTTGTGTGCTGCAGCCTTCACACATGATCATTCCAACAGTTTATAGTGAGAAGAAAATACCCTGTAATGATAAATACACAATATATAGTATTATATTAAATAGTTTTAATACTATACAAGTAAATGCAATACCAAATGCAAACCAAAATGAAAGGGGAAAAAAAGCATCATTCTTTGAGAAATTAGGATGTTGTTTCTTTTTCTGTATATTTTGGTCTTACTGTAGTCTACATGCTCAAGAGAGGGAGGGAGGAGGAAAAACACACAGTATAGTGAATATTAGAAGTATTTTTAATAATATTTTTCATGTCTTAAGAATGCCCCAAGCACTTTATCTTCCTAGAGTTGAAAGAAATGCCCTAAATTTTACATATGTAGTTTGCAGTCAGTGTTAAAAATAAACAAAGGTAATCTGACATACCATTAGGTCTGTAACAGCAGCGATATTCTCTCTGAACTTTATAGTCACTTTATGAATGGAGGGGGAATCTTTTTTACATGCTCATGATTTGTAGTTTAGTTTAAAGGTAAATGATTGAAAATGATACAGCCCATCAGGTAATTAATTCACCAGAGTTTCCAGGCTTACCATTGCATTTAATCACCTCAATAATCCAAGTTAAAGGATAGATTTCTTATTGGAGTGCTTCACATTTTGATAATTTCAATAACTTTTCCTCTTCCCTGGTTTCTTAATGCTGTCAAGAATATCTGTAGGTTTTTGTTACATCTTTTGATTTATTTGCCAATGAAGTCTCAAATAACGCAAATTTCAGGCATATTACAATTGCCTCAAAAATATTCTGCTTGACCAAATCAAGATTCCAATTTGAATTTTGCTACCTAGAATAAATACAGCTCTTAAAGTGTCAGTTGTGCATATGTATGAAAATTGAAATTATTCACCCTTTGGAAATTCACTTAGAGGTTAAGTAAGTTCTAACATCATATTTTATATTACTGAAACAACTGAATTTTATGATTGCTGCAAGATAATTTTTATATAGAATTTCTTCCCCATTATGTCCTCATCATTTGCTCTCTTCTTCTTCTTCTTCTTCTTCTTCTTCTTCTTCTTCTTCTTCTTCTTCTTCTTCTTCTTCTTCTTCTTCTTCTTCTTCTTCTTCTTCTTCTTCCTCTTCTTCTTCTTCTTCTTCTCTGTCTGCACTGCACTATTTTTGTGGTTTAACTGTGGGCATTTGGTTGTTTATATGCATCTTTTATTTCAAATAACATGAGTTATTTGAATATAAGCATTCAATTTCTCTAATTTTTTTTTTTTTTTTTGGTTTTTCGAGACAGGGTTTCTCTGTAGCTTTGGAGGCTGTCCTGGAACTCACTTTGTAGACCAGGCTGGCCTCGAACTCACAGAGATCCGCCTGCCTCTGCCTCCTGAGTGCTGGGATTAAAGGCATGTGCCACCAACGCCCGGCCCAATTTCTCTAATTGTTTTTAATAAAAACAATTTGATCTAATTGAATGAGAACATTTGGAATGTGTGTTCTTATTTCAACTTTTGTTGGTGCAGTTTCTAAATGCAGAACATACACAAAAGCTTTTTTAACCACAAACATACTTTATGAACTAATTGAAGGAAAGTGGTTACAAATGATAATTTTCTAAGTGTGAAGAAATTTTAAGAATGGGACAGTGAGATTTTAGTTATAATCTTGATGTCCCGAGAATAGAAGCTACAGCAGAGTACAAATCTGCAACTTGCAGCCCAAAGCATTGCTGTGCTCTGTGCCTATGCACTGCTTACTTGTAAAGAGAGGCTGCCGTTAGATATTCCAAGTACCTAAGGAACTGGACGTGCAGGTTGTATATTAACACTCTAAGTAGCGGGGATGAACTTGTTCAGCTAGTTTGATGATCTCCTGAAAAATATTCCCCATACATCCTAGCTTTGAGGACAACCTTCCTTGACCACCAGAACCACAATCTCCAAGTTCCAGCTACACCAAGCTTAGGAAAGCTGATGCTGGAGATAATAGAGAAGTTGAGCAAACTGGAGGGGGGAATTAAGTACATATAAATAATAGTTTGATGGTAATTGTATTATAAACATAACATGTTCCTTTATAGTTCTGTTTCTTAATGCCTCACATAACTATGCTCCAAGAGAAGACATGATATGTATGCCCTGCATCTCAACCAAATTATCAACATCTGATATTTGTCAGGTATACTTATCTCAAGAGGTGGGTATATCTGAGGAAATGACAGGCCAGTTTTGTAAATGAATTATTATTTAATCCAATATAAATATTTACACAGAAAGTTTTCACAAACTCTAATATGATTTTGAAATGTTATGCATTTAAATGTTTTTATAATAACTTATTCCCATATTTAAATTTATTCTAATTATTTCTCATTTTAGTGCCATGTTTGTATACATGATTAATGAAATTTTAAATGTTTATTATATTCTTCCCTCATTGGTCACAATTTTAATAGGTATTTCTGGTTCAAATTAACCATTTAAAGTGATATTTATTAAAATATATTCATTTTCTCCTTAATAAATTTCCTTTTAAAATGTCACTGGTGCAACTGAATAACAAGCAATAAGTAATGTTTATTAATTTTAATGAATGGTTTGTAGTCTCTGAAAAATGGTTTGTTTTAACACCTTACCTTATATAGCTAGCTACTCTATACCTTTTCTTCAAGCCTTGTTGAAAAATATAGTTTATAACCATGTTTACCTATTTTTATTCTAAACATTTATACCAGATCATGCTATTTATCTATATAATATAATATAACATGATATTAAAAGTCCCTACCTCTTGAGAATGTAAAACACATAATAATATCTGTAGTCACCCTACCATGCAATAACCAATTAGCAATCCCCACTTCAGTCTAAACATAGCTTAAAACCCACTGCTAGCTTTCTCTATCGCTTCCTCCCTCTGAATTCCCTAGACTTTGCCACCTCCCATAGCCACCCATTTCTATGATGCTAAACGTTTTAGATTCTGCATACATTAGCTGCTTTGTTGTTGTTGCTATGATAAACCACCATGACCCAAAGCAAAGTATAGAAGGAAGAGTTTATCTGGTCTTACTGTTTCCAAAGGAAAGTCTCTAATGACAGTAGGGGCATGGGAGCATTAGGCTAACACATCACCTTTTGGTATACACAAAGGAATCAGAGAGCCCACTATAAGTGGGTCAAGGCTCTGGATTTCCAAGATCCATCCCTAGTGACGTACTTCCTCTAGCAAAGCTGCCTCTCCCCATAACCTCCTCCAGACAGTGCCACCAACTGGGCAAATCCCTGCAGTATTTGTCATTCTGTGCAGGATTTACAGTCATACTTCACATACTGATCTCCATTCCATGCATGTTTTACAAGTGGTAGGATTTCATCATCTTTATGGCTGAATAGTATCCCAGCATATGAATGAATTTTCTTTCTCCATTATGCTGTTGCCTACTTTTAAATCAGGCTCTCGTCTTTCTGCTTTTGAATTTTGGAGTTTTTTTTTGTTTGTTTGTTTTGTTTTTACAAGACAGGGTTTCTCTATTGTTTTGGAGGTTGTCAGTCCAGCCTGGCCTCGAACTCACAGAGATCTGCCTGTCTCTGCCTCCCGAGTGCTGGGATTAAAGGTGTGCGCCACCACGGCCCGGCAAATTTTGGAGTTTCTTGCATGTTCTGGATGTCTTCCCCTTCTCAGATACATAGTTAGCAATATATCCTCTCATATTTTGTGTTATTTCTCCATTTTGATTTCCTTTGTTTACAAATGTTTTGTGGTGATTTTTATTTTTGGTGTTGATTTAGTAATACAGTGTCCTTTGTCTATATTTAAAGAGCTCCATTTTCACACATTAAAGTAGGAGAACCAAGTCATATTTGGTGTCTTAAAAACTTACTATTCAAAGTTGATTTATAATTTGGGATGTTGTCCAAAATCTCTTGCTCATTCCATGGTTCTGGCTTAATTCTGGCATGCTTTTTTTCTGCAACTATTATATTTTGTGGTCTCATGTTTAAGGCTTCCATCCAATTTGACTTGGATTTTGTGACTGGTAAGAGAACTCTATTTCTAGAACATTTCTTTAATGATCCTACAACTGGCGTGCACCCAGTTGGAGGCATTTTAAATGACTGACTTTTGGTAGGGCAAGATCTTTTTTGGTGCTTCCTCATCTCCATTTCTTCCCTTCTAGCCTTTGCTTTTTCACAGGTTTGGTAAGGCAGACTGCGTGATTACGTAACTAGATTATCTCATTAGAAAATAGAGGTGGAGGTCTTGAGGTCAGTTTTTATCACCTCTACTCTCCTCTTTGTCTAAAGACTGCTGACACAATTGGTTTGAGAGGCCATGCCAAGTATACTTGCCTTCCAAGTTTCAGAAAAAGTCAGTTTGGAAGAAGTATGAAGAAATTGGAGCATGCAAAATGATTGGATTTTCAAAACCAAAGAAAGGACTATGGGTCCTTTGCAGTTTCATTCATGTTTTTTTCTCTCTTTCTTCATGATTCATTTTCAAGTCCCCATTAAATTTATTTTCCAAAGCAAAGATGCTTACTTGTATAGAGCTGATGTAAAGTTTGCTCAAGTAAAATACAAGTAAAAGCAAAAAATCTCCTGTTTATTTGTGTTAAGCACTTTGAATCCTAAATTATGCAAACAATGTGGGAAATCCTTACTCAGATTCTCCGGAGTTGCCACACATATATATCAGTTTTGTAAACTACAGCTATTGCCATAGTGCTTTTCCCTTCGCGTCTTCAGTTGACTTCTATTTTATATTCTACGTCTAGATTTTTCTCACTGTTGCCAATTAGAGATAGTTTAGACTTTGGTAAACAATGTACAGTGTATCTGCTTAGCTTATTATAGAAAACTGAAATATGTTTCTTTACATACTCTAGATCATTTGGACTATAGATATGAGGTTTGGTTTGCAGTATGCAAATCAGTTTTGAATAGTAAGCTTCTAGAATCTCTAGGATAATTTAATTCTTACATTATGTGAGAGTGAAGCTATCTATTTTATTTCAGGATAGAAACTCTGTTTACATTATTTTAGCCATCATTATCAAGAGTCGAAAAGAGTTGCTGTAACATAGAATTTTAGAATTTAATGCATGTAAGATCTTCTCTAGTTTAGTTGATTTATTATAGGATCATTTCAGTGACTTTTCCATTTAATTTATGACAAATCTGAGTAGATGATACACAGTTACATGCTATTAGTTCTTACTTTAGCATTTCAAGAACAAGGGCCAGAGACATCTGTTCCCCATATCAGCTCTGTTTTGTTTTTTGAAACCCATTAGCTCATAATTTTTGGCAGGTTTTTACAGACTTAGAAATATATGTTCCTTAAGTCATCATTTTTCTTGATTTCTATTACACAATTCGTAAAAGTTTTCAGTTGTGTTAGAATTTATTCTTCTTTTTATAAAATACCATTAATCTTTTTATCTTTACAAAATATTCTATTTCTTCTGCCAGAAAAAAAAATCTTCCTGTTTCACTTCAGATGATTAGCAGTAAGTCAGAATCCCAAAATGAAGCATTTAGTTAAGTGACTACAGAACATTAACCCAGGGTACAGCTATGTGGTAGTAAGTAAATAGGCCCTAGGAAAGTATGTTGCTAGCATCTTGGACAGAGAAAGCAAATAAGACTCAAAAGAAAATCCTGGCAATCATGAAATATTTTTTTCTGAAAAAATTCAGGCATTTGTCTTCAGCACCATAGTGGACACATTTTCTCCCAATGTACTACTACCTTTGCATAATGCACTATGCATTTATGATGGTTTGAATGAAAAAAAGGTCCCCATGTTTGATATGTTTGAATGCTCCTCAGTTAGTGAAACTATTGGAGAAGGATTGGGAGGTGTGACCTTGACCTTGTAGGAGTAGGTGTGTCCTTGTTGTAGGAGGTGACTCACTGAGATTGGACTGAATCTTCAAAAGCCCATGACAGGCCCAGTCTGGTTTTTTCTATGCCTACTGCCTATAGATCCAGATGCAAAATTCCAAGCTACTGCTCCAGTGTTATGCCTGTCTTCTTCCTACCATGATAATCATGGACTAACATAGTAAAACATTAAGCATCCTGCTTTCTTTTATAGGAGTTGCCTTGTTTATAATGTCTCTTCACAGTAACAGAACAGTAACTGAGACAGCAGGCTTAGTGTTGGAACACAAATAAAGATGAACACCATGATATTATCCATAAAGGTTTTATAATCCTCCTTGCACATGAATCTGCAGATAACTCTTTTCATTATACATACCTCTATCAGATGCTTTTGTTCCCAGTAGGCTGTAATAACTGGCATTCTCTTTTTTCAATTTGTATTGTACTTCTTATCAAATCTAGATGTAATATTTCTATACTTCTTTGATTAAATGCAGTCATTGTGATCATTTTCTACAGCACAGAGAGCATGTAGTGTATTCGGGTCAAGTTGAGCATACATCACTTCTGGTCAATGTTCCATACCAAGACTAATCCCCACACAGCGCAGCTCATGTTATACTGCCTTCTGCAGCACAGTTAAAGCTTTGTAGAGCTCACCTAATTTCCAAACACTGAGTGAGGGGCCAGAAAACAGATGTCTGGGAAGCTGCCAGACTTGACTGGCCACAGATAAGCTTGTTGAAGATGTATAATCTACTATCTGGGTCTTGACTTAGTCTCTTATCTGTCACACAAGGAAGACTGGCATTTGTTCTACTGTTGGTGTGATCGAATTATTCACTGGCTGAGTGATTTCAATTACTTTAGCAAACAAAACCCTATGAAATGTGCTTTTGATCATTTTCAAAGTCTAAAATAACTTGTTACATGAGAGCTGGTGGTAAATTAAAGTGGCTTCATATGCACTGCTTAAAAAATACTATTTTGGATAGTAATGTTTCTTTATTTAAACTGTTTTCTAGCTAAAAAGTATTGCCAGACTACATCAGAAATATATTTTAGAATTTGTTTTATAAAACATAGATTTTAAAAACTTTCTATCATTTATATTCACCAAATGACTTATTAAAGCACATTAACTAAATTAACACCCATGGATGTGATTTGAAGACATCACATACTTGAGATCATGAGGAATACCCTCACAATAACAAGTGAGATGGTTTTCCCTCACTTTGCTCTTCTTCTGGCCCCTCAAAACCATCCGTACATAGGAAAGCAGTGGGAGCAGCTAGAGCGAGAGAGTCTGCTTCCCTCAAGCCTGACTGCAATACATTTTACAAGCAATCTCAAGCAAGTCACCATCTCATATAATTTGAGAATGGCCCAGTTTTCTGCCTAAATGTGATATAGCGGTAAAAGAAATGATTTTGTACTTCCATGTCTCTTCCTCAAGAAAACCACATGGATACATGGATAACCATACTTCATTTTAAGCAAACCCTGTCTCTGGGATTCCTGAGCCTGTAACACCTCTCCTCAGTGTCAGGAAGCCTTGATCTCTTATACTTACTGCTCCATGGCCCTCAAAAATGTATTTCTCCAGGCTAATGCAAGATTTACAAGGTTGGACACTTTCGTTTTACTGCCTATCACAATATAAGTTGTCAGTAAGTATGTTTGGCACTGTAAATGCTAAGTCAGTAAGGGCATTTTCTTTTACTTAAAACATGATTTCACTCTCAGCACATCTGGGCATCTGCCTTCCCCAGCAAGGAGACCAGATGCACTTCAATTTAGAGGTCTGTTTTTTTAAGAGTATGTCCTTCTTTGTCATATTGACCTTTGACTGTTTGGTTTATTGTTGTTGATTTTGTTGTTTGAGTTAATTTTTGTTAGTTCTGTCTAGTAAGATAATTTCAGGTGCACAGATATAACCCTCTGTTCTTTACACTCCTTTGTCTCCTTCATTTCTATCTTCCATCCTTTCCTAGATATTCTCTTCTAGTCTTTCAACACCTTCATTCTTCAAAGAATTTCTATGATTCCACCTTTGCCTCGATGCCTTCCAAGAAAAATTTACAAACTCCCTTGCTACCTTTGGTTTGTGAACAGCTCTGGAGATAATGTTGGGATTTGTAGATGTGACTGAGATGTTGGTTTCCATTATTCTAGACTGACATGAAGATTGCCAAGTTATAGAACTGTGCGCATTCTATTTTTATTTGTATTCATTGTCATATACATTAGAAATGACACTTGTATTTATGCATTTCTATGCCATGTTTAATTGCTTTCTATTTTATTTTATTTGTACTGAAACTAAGAATTTTCATAATCTTCATTATTTTTCTAAAACTGTCTCATATTTTTATCTTTAACAGGTTGTTGCTATAGTGATGGATGTATTTACTGATGTGGATATTTTCAAAGAAATAGTAGAGGCATCGACACGAGGGATATCTGTATATATTTTGCTTGATGAGTCCAATTTTAATCATTTTCTAACTATGACTGAAAAACAGGGTTGTCAAATTCAACGTCTCAGGGTAAGAATGCAACATTTTTCTCAAGGACTTCTGTTTGCCATTTTCATTCAATTCAAATTTGAGTCACGTTAAGATAAATTAGAAGAAGGTTTAAAAGAAGAAGACAAAATAATGAAGATAGAGTAAAGACTGGGAGATTGGAAGACCTGATTGTTCTGGGATGTGCTTCTTTATAGAGGATGCCTGGGCACTCTGGCAGAGTTAGTTGCCACCAGGAATAGTTAGTGACTCTGCTCACATATACAACTCTGAAACTCTGGCAAGCAATCCTATAATTTAATGTGTTGCTTTGTCAAACTATTTGAATTAGTGTTTTCCGTTACATTTGACTTATGAAAAATTCTCATACTATTATACTCAGAAAGTATTTCTCACGATAAAATTTAGTACCATTTATGAAATGATTCTGTGTCCATTTAAATGTGTCCATTTAAGCTGTGTTAAATATATTGTGAAATTGTTCTTTTTCTTGAGTATTTAATTTATGGAAATTTTTGCAATTTTCTTTAATGAATTTATCTGTGTTTTAAAAGTTTGTTTCAAGTAAGTGTTTTGGGGCTGGGCAGTGGTAATGCACCCCTTTAATCCTAGCACTTAGGAGATAGAGGCAGGTGGATCTCTGTATGAGTTCGAGGCCAGCCTGTTTACAAAGTGAATTCCAAGATAGCCAGAACTGTTACACAGAGAAACCCTGTTTATGGTTTTTTATGTGTTTTACATTGTTATTGATTTACTTTTTAAAATGTCTCACTTCTAGACATAATTTTATTTTATGTTTACATATAATTGTAGAACATTCGAGTACGGACAGTAAAAGGCCAAGATTATCTTTCAAAAACAGGAGCAAAATTCCATGGGAAAATGGAACAGAAATTTTTGTTAGTTGACTGCCAGAAAGTGATGTACGGTTCTTACAGGTAAGAATATTGCATTTACTTTAAGCATTTCCACCCATTCAATTAAGTTATTACTTTGAGATTTTAGCATAACCAACTTACATGTATCTTAAAACTAAGAAAAAAGGGGGGGGCTGGGAGAATGTTCAGCACTTGTTTTTCTTACAGAGTACATGAGTTGGTTCTGAGCACCTACCTTGTAAGGCTCACAACCACCATAACTCCAGCCTTGGGGTGATCTAAGCCCTCTTCTGGCATCTTCTAGAACTGCACTCAAATTTATAAGCCCACACATATATACATACCATACATACATACATACATACATACATACATACATACAATTATAAATTTTTTAAAAATCTTTTTTAAAATATGAAAAAATTATTCATAGTCTACAGTATGGAGATTTGAAGACTTAGCCTTTGCTAATATCTTCATGTTTCTTTGGCTGCCCACATGACTATGGTCAATTATGTAGCTTGGCTTAAGATTCTTCATCCAAACAGTAAGAGAGTTAGCTAACATTTAAGGTGCTTTGCAATCCTAAAATAATAAATGTGAACTAACTCCTATAAAAGCAATGTGTAATATGAATTGAGAAACAATCACTTAAGCCAGTTTGGGTAGTGCATGACTGTAATGCAAGATCCTTTCTCAAATACCAAAACAAAGGTTAGAGTGGTTACTTAGCCCATAAAGGTTTTTATTTCCAATCTTGATGCTTTGAGTTTGATTCCTAATACTCCCACGAGAGAACGAATGCTCACAAGTGACATCCACACATGCATTGTGGCATACATGCATACCCATGCACACACCCACATGCACACATCACACATACATGTACACATCACACACAATGCACAAAATAAAGAATTAATGAATAAAAATATCAGACATCTATAGAAACAACACAGCATAAAAAATTTCTCAAGTAACAGTAGGAGTGTTTAGCACTTTGAAGAGTCAACCAGGAGATAGATGTTCCTATGGGATTGTTCAGTATCTGAGAAACCCAGAACTGCATTCCTATCTTGGACAGGCTGATATGGAGTGTAGACATTGCCTAGTAATTGTTCAATAGTGTCCAGTAAGGCATTATTCCTATATGTGAGTCATAGTGTATCTATATAAACAGACAAATAAAAACTCCCACAAATGCTTCTAAAGTCCAGGTCACTAAGTTGTTGTAGACCTGTCAAGAAGATGTTGGCATGACTCCAGATAGCTGTGGCAGTGAACAGGCTGGAACGGTAGAACCTTTGCCCTTTGGTAAATTTAAACATCCATAAAGAAATAGCACCTTGAAGTCTCGAGCAAATGGCTCAACTTGTACTTTCCTTTGTTTATATAAAGTTACTGTGATCATAAAACACACTACATCTGTGCAAGTTCATTTCCCAAACAATAATGTTACCTCTCACTTTAGGACTTTGTTTTGTTATTTTTTTTGCTTGTGTTTTCTGAAGGCTCAGGGAGGTGCCCTCCTTTAATGCTGTTTGGGGTTCCAAGTGAAAACTTGTAAAGACCATAAATTACAACTAGTACTTGAAAGTAATGAGTCATTTAAAAGTCTCATTATATATGTATATATTTGTGCAGACACACTTAGTTTAAGAGAGTTCTTAATTGAGTTTTTAATTAACATACAGTTTGCTTGTATATGGTGTTCCTTATTCAAGTACACCACAATTGCTCTTTCTATTTCTAGTCTTTGACTTGATGCTTAACAACATTTTCAGTACTGAATTTACCTCTTTGCTGCTGCCACTAGAAACTGGTAGTTAAATGTTGTGATGACTGGAGCTGAGCTACTTAGGTTGATATGGGTAAATAAATAAATAAATAAATTCACTTTAATTAAAAAATAAATAACCAAAATCAAGCTAAACCAAATCTAGAAAGCCACTCTAATCTAGCCCGTAGGGAGGAGTGGAGGAGAATATGGAGTTTCTAAGAACAGAAAATATCATGATTCATCTAACCCACTTTCTATTAACCACACTGCCTGTAGTTTTTTCAAGATCATTTTAAATATACTTCTTTTAAAAATCATTCATCGTAAGTCATGGTCAGTTCTGTTTTATATTCTCCCTGTATCATTTGTTGTACAGACAACTGTTACATAGTACACTCAAGTATATTTCGTCCATTGAATATTTCTTGTCTGTACCCTTACCCTCTCTTAAATCATTTTTCACCTTCCTGTTTGTTTCCTTAAATGAATTTTTATTTCTTTTCCCTTTTTGAAATCATAGCAAAATTACATCATTTCCCCTTCCCTTTCCTCCTGCCAAATTTTCCCAACACCCTCCCTTGCTTCCTTTCAAATTCATGACCTTTTTTAAAAAGATTAGTTGTTGTATATATACATATACATATGTGTGTGTATATATGTATGTATACACACATACACACACACATATATATATACATATATATATATATTCCTAACTACATAAATACAACCTGCTCAGTCCATGTAATGTTACTTGCATGCGTGTTTTCAGAGCTGAAACAGAGTGAACAGTTGAGTACTCTTCCCTGGGGAAGGCTTTCTGCTCTCAGCATCCCTTAGTTGTCTGTAATACTTTGTGTAGGTTTGAAGCCTCAGTGGCTTTCCCTCATTCACTTTAGCGTGTCTCTTGTTGATCTTGCTCACCTCCTGCTGAACCAAGCTCAGGTCCCCTCGGTGAGCAGTAAGGGTGTTTAGCTGCTGAGCCGTCTCTCCTGTCCTTGACTGAGTCTTATATTGTAAAAAATTTTCCCCAAAAGTTCTCGTTAATAGTTATGAATCACTTTGGTCAAAACCTAGTTCCTTCTAGTTAACGGAGCTTGAATTCCTTATACTACAGTATATCGTTTTCCCATTTTCCTTGTAGGTACCCTTGTATTTGTTTTCTTGTTTTCTCCTTGTCGGATTCCATTTCCTCTTTTCCTCTCTCCTTTTCTGTCATTGGTTCTTCTTATTTACTTTTTATTTAGACAAAGTATTACTTTATTGCCCAGGTTGCCTGTCAACTAGCTATGTAGTTCACTTGCCCTTAAATTCCCAATTTTCTAGATTTTGCCTAGCCAATATTGAGTTTACAGGTGTGTACCACCACACTCAGCTGAAATGTCTTCTTTAATTTATTATCCCCCCATGGAAACCATTAGGTTCTGAAGTTTCATCATTTGTAGAGATGCCAAGAATCTTCAGTTATCAAGGCCACATGTGTGCAACAGCTCACATGGTGGCAGCTTCTCAGAAAAACACAAGTGTTCAATATATAAAACATATATTTTCCAGTCAATGAGTATAAATAGTATTTTCAATTTGGTATCCCCACCTAAAACTGTGAGGGATATTTTGAGGATATTCATAAGGTATTTTAAATAAATTAAGCTCAGAGTTTTTTGTTATAGACAGGGCTCCCAACTTAGGTTCCTCCTGACTTTCCCTGCTGACTGCAGGGATTACAGATGTGAGCCTCTAAGCCCCATTGAAAAAGAATTATTGTAAGCTCCTACATGTTAAATATTATGATCTCTGTAAAATTTACAAGAGTTTCACTAAAGTTGGGGTCTTCAGGTGCCATTTTTAATCAGGCATGAAGCTGGTCACATCTGAGATTCATCTTACAACCAACATACTCTTACTACTTGAATCCTAGTCTTTTTACTTTTTAACTCCTTTCCAGGAACCCAGCTTCTTAAGTCACTTTTGATCAGGTCATGACTGATGTACAATGTCCTTTTAGGAGGTGAGAAAATATTTTTAACCCAAGTTAATATATTTGTGTGTTTTTAAAATAAAAATAATATTAAAGGCATGCAGTCCAAAGTATAATTGTAATTTTTCTACCTTCAATTGCTCTTGATCCTGGCCTCTCTACTCAATTTACCTTACTATGCCTTCTGATACTAATAATCTCATTAGACTGATTTTTCCAATTCATGAATTTCTGTTACTATCTCTTCCTGTTTCATTGTGACTGAGGTATATTTCCTGCCCACCTGTGTCCTGTTAAGAGAAGCTTTTTCCTTGCTAGCCGCTTTGGTTTATCCCCCGCCAGCAGCCTGGGCTCTGCTGCGATGTAGTCCCCAAATAAACACACAAGACGCTGTATTAATTATGAAGCTGTTGGCCTTGCTTGTCTCTTACTGGCTAGCTCTGCTTAAGTAATTACCCCATAATTGTTAATCTAAGTATGTCTCTTACCGGAGAGGTTTCCGGGCTTCCTACCCCAATGGCGTTACATCTCGACTCTCCTGTGTTTCTCCTTCCCAGAATCCTCCTGGACTCCTAGCCCCTCCTATCTAGATTCCCTATTGGCCAGACAGTGCTTTATTGGCATAAGACTTCCCCAACAGTGTCCACTTTCTTTTCTTGTCTTTGTTCTTCCAGCAGAGTATTTTCACAAATTTCTACTACATTACATAAGAGGTCCAGGTTCATATTATTGAAACTGGGTCAAAACTGAGCATTGTTGAAGTATTTCATTTTCCATCACAAAATTAATGACCATTTTATTTTTGTTTTATTTGTATGCACATGTGTTAGCAAGTTAGGTGCAGTTGCATTTGTAAGCCCAAGGACTAACTTGGATGCCTTTCCTCCATTGTCCTTTTAGTGGTTTTGTGTGCATGCATGCGTGTGTGCATGCGTGCGTGAATGCGTGTGTATGTGTGTGTGTGTGTGTTTGTATTGAGCATATCTCATTGACCCAGGAATCACTCTAGTAGTTAGCCTGTCTCTCACTCCCCAGGGCTTTCCAGCAGGCTTGTGTTTTCTGTTTGTTTGTTTGTTTGGTGGGTTGATGATTTTTTTTTTCTTTTCTTTCTTCTTTTTCTTGCTTTCTTGTTTGCTTTCCCCATTCATTGCCTTATCTTCTATTTATTGCTCTTGTTTTACAGTTGACTGCACAGTTTTGAGCACATGAATGATTTTTTTCAAATGTTCAGTTACTGACGACTACGAATTATGTGCAATCCAGTATAGCAGGGCCTACAACAGGAGCACAAGCTCAGTTCCCAATATAGTTCATGTTCCTGGTGCTTTGATCCATGTTTGCCTGAAGTCTGCACTCCCTTGTTTTCCTTTCTCTGTCTCTGAGTTACTTATTTATAGCTCAGTTTGAGATACAAATTTTCTAATTTTCCTTGTGTTGTTGATTTCCCTTCATTATAATTAAAATAGATACTTTGATGATTCAAATATTCCTTTCCTTCATAAGACTTGCTTTTGGTTTAAAGATGGTCTGTCCTGGAGACTTTTTTATAGACCCTGAGAAGAATGTATATTCTGCTTTGCTAGATGTTCTAAATGTTTCTGTTACATCCTGTTGTTCGGTAGTGTTTTTCAACTCCCTATTTATATTCCATTACTGAAAGCAGCTACTATTTATTATATTTTGATAACTCTCTTTCAATTCTGTCAAAATCTGATTAATGTACTTCAAAGATTTGATGCATAAGTGCAATTATGAATTATATTTACTCATTAATTATGAATGAGTGTTATTGTGATTTTAACCAACATGACCTCCTTTATAAATTAAGTTGACCCTTTTATCATCATCTGATGGCTGTCTTTCATAACATTTCAAACTTCAAAGCCTGTTTTCTCTGACACTGTGATGCCTTTTTCATTATCCTAGTCATCATTTTCAAGATACTACTTTTCTTTTGTTTTAAGCTCCTGTTTGTCCTTAGATTTGAAGTGAGTCTTGAAAACAGACAATGCTTGGTTCTGGAATTTTATCCATTCACTTGATATATGTCTTTTGGTTGGAGAGTTAGAAATGATTCTTAACAGGAAAGTTACCTTTGGCATTGCTCTTTTCAGGGCAAGCTGGAACTCCATTCCCTCACTGCTTTCTTTTGTCTTGTTGCCATTTTTGTAGGAAAAGGGTGAACTATCTAGGAAGAAAAAAAAAGAAAGAAAAAAAAGCTAGGTGTGGTATCACTTGCTCTTAACCTTAGCGCTCTAGAGGATGAGGAAGGAGGACCCAAAGGCAAAGATAAAAGCATATGAGAGCATCCTCTTATGCCAGGCAAAGATTTAAATTTTATTTTAAGTAAATTAGAAAGTCCTATGTTGGGATATGGCACGAGCCAGGCTTTTTTTGTATAGGTGATTTCTGTGCTATGTCAGTTGACAAATAAGGAAATGAAGAAGCTAAGATCCGATTACCTTATGACGCTTTGACTTGGGTGAGAATTTTTTGAGTCAATGTCAACAGAATCTGTTTGTTTCTATTAGTTCTGGGAACCAGAATATTCAAAGGTGATTCCTTGCTTTGTGTGGACTAAAAGAATGCTTGAAAGAGTGATTTAAGTAAGGTTGAGGTAGGAAAAGCCTTGTGTGGGTGGATTGTCTAAAGCTGTGCTTGAAAGGCTGTCTCAGTTAAGACTGAAGCAGTGACAGGCCTGGAAAGAATGATGTAGGATAAAGACTCAGCAATTGGATGTAGTAGTTTGGTGAGTCTGGTTACTGTTGCAAACAGACACTGGGCATAGATTCTGCACATACTGAGGAGCTCAGTACAGATCTGTAGTGCAGTACAGATCTTACAGTGCAGATCTTTTAGATGGCACACTTCACCTAAAGTGACAAAGAAGTACAGGGGTCCCTCTCAAATCCTGCAAATGCGTAATTGGTCATTCAGATCACCTTTGAAACACTCAACTGAATATCTTACTGTAATCAGTAATGTATCACAACATTCCAGAGGAATGTCTTACATTTTTGGTTTCCTAAACTCTGCTCTTGGAGGTTATTTTATTTCATAACCTTTGGGGTTGTACTTTATTATAATGTTTTCCAATTCATAGTAAATTCAATCCCTGATCTTCCAAGTGTGTACTATAAACAGCCACTAGAAAAATGATCCCCAAACATTTCTTTCTCTTTCAGTTTATCTGAACTCAGGGACAAATCCTGAATCCAACAAACATTCTGCTTAGCTTTCAAACTTGCCTGCACACCTCACAATTCCCTGATAAGAGAGAGAAAAACTAAACAGTGGTAGTTTCTGCTTCTGCTTTTTGCTGTTTCTTCCAAACAAACTACCTGCTCATATCTTTTGACTCCAACATTGCTCTATTCATAGCTTCAGTTTGACTGAAAAAGAAATACTTTATAAAATTTTTTTCTACTTCTGATCTCATGTCCAGAAAATTTTTCTTTATTCTTTCTCTCTCTTCCTTTCTTTTTTCTGAGACAAGATTTCTCTGTGTAGCCATGGATGCCCTGGAACTTACTCTGTAGATCAGGCTGGACTGGAACTCAGAGAGATGTGTCTGCCTCTGCCTTCTGGGTGCAGAGACTAAACGTATACCCCACCACTGCCTACCATGCCCAGAACATTTCTTTAACTGTTGATTTCCATTTCATTTCTCTTAAATCATCCTGCTGTCTCAGACATTCACATGAAGAGCACCTAGTAAATATTCTTGTTATACCAGGTATTCATGGAAAGTAACACATAGATTTGAGCATATCAGAGTGACATATCCCCAAAGTACAGAGTATAATTTGTAATATTTTATCAATTTTTACTGAGTACATTTAAGAAATGTTTATATTTGTATTGGGTTTCTGTATATAAATATTATATAGATAAATATTACATTTGTCAGTATAGTGTATTTGTCTCACTTTGTTTTTCAATAAACTCCATTGTGTCATATATATTCTTTGATATAAAAAATTAACAATTTATTATTAAATTGTTAGATTGTGAATCTAATTTAGGTGCTCAAAGGCCAAATTGAAAAATTGACATAAAATTTCAAGAATTCCCTAGCTTTGGATCTATGTAGGATAGGGGTTCATAGATGTATAAAATACTGTGAAATAATTATAACCTTAATTTTGCAGAAGTTGTATGCTATATTCAGAAATACAGAATGGCATTTTAAATAGCATATTTTATGGGGAGCTTTGTAATCCTGTGTGGACTGATTACAGTGAAGTCTGCCCATCAGTGACTGAGGCGGCTGCCCACAGTTGCTCTATTTACAGCTCTCTGTATCCCTGATTATACTATATATAGATCTAATGATAAAAATACTATCAATTATGCTAAGAAAAACAAGAACAGTAATTCTTTTGTCATTTTAAATGACATTTACAGTAGAACTGTATGGTGTCATAAATTTAATCTTACGCCAAAATTAAATTTCTTGTTTTGCTTTTGTTTTCAGCTACATGTGGTCATTTGAAAAGGCTCATCTCAGCATGGTTCAGATAATCACAGGACACCTTGTAGAGTTATTTGATGAAGAATTCCGCACACTCTATGCCAGGTCCTGTGTCCCAAGTTCTTTTGCTCAGGAAGAAACAGCAAGGGTGAAGCCAGGCAAAGCTCTGTGGGAGAATGGCATTTACCAGCGATCCATTTCTTCATTAGCTTCTGTTTCCAGCCAAAGAAACCTTTTTGGTAGACAAGACCAAATTCATAAAATAGACTCTAGTTACTTCAAAGGCAGAGGGATATATCCCCTAAATGAGCATGACAAACACAGCATGAGAAATCATGGATACAAGCCTCATTTTATTCCAAACTTCAATGGTCCAAATGCAATCCGTCACTTGCAACCCAGTCAGATCAATGAAAACTGGAAAAGGCATAGTTATGCTGGGGAACAACCAGAAACAACTCCGTATCTGCTGCTCAACAGAGCTCTGAATCGAACTAATAATGCACCTGGACACTGGAGAAGGCCTTCAGACAGTCTCAGTGTGGCATCCTCATTACGAGGAGGCCAGGCAAGCCAGACAAACATACCTGCACAGAGTTTTGCTGATCGGCTTGCTCAGAGAAAAACAACAAATCTTGCAGAAAGGAATTCAAATGTGCGGAGATCATTTAACGGGACAGATAATCATATCCGCTCTCTACAGCAACGGATGCCAACTCTGGAGAATACCACCAAATCTTTTCTGCGAAGCTGGAGAATTGACTCCTACTTAAATGATAATTCAGAGGTCCCATCTGATTCAAATGGCTCCACCCTGGATGACAGATTTGAAGGCTGCGATAGTCCCGAGAACGTGAAAGCCAATGCGCTCTATACTCATTCAAGGCTTCGTTCCTCATTTGTGTTTAAACCAACTTTACCTGAACAAAAAGAAGTCAACAGCTGTACAACTGGCTCCTCAAATTCCACCATCATCGGATCTCAAGGAAGTGATACACATGGTGAGGTCCAAGAGAGTTCAGCCAGTGCACTGCCCTTGACAGAAAAGCCCTTGCCTGAATCAATCCCCAAGCTCCCAGCACAGTCAGAAGTGCCAAAAATGCACAGTTTGCAGGTTCCTGAAAAGTCACCAGCAATCTCAAACCAAACAACAAACGGCCGAGCAGATTTAAACAACTGTATATACACAAACCTGTGTGTAAATAAGCAGATGGAAAGCACAAAAACCAAGCCAAACGAGAACCTGCTCAAAAGGCGAAGTTTCCCGTACTTTGACCACTCAAAAGTCAATTTAGATCATGGAAACAGCAAGAATTATGTGTATAGTACCCTTACCAGAAATCGGGTCAGACAACCGGAAAAACCCAAGGAGGACGTGCTGAAGGCTTCTAAAAGCATGCACAATGTGACCCACAGCACGGATGAGGAGGAAGAGGAGGCTGTCAAGAGACACCCTCCAAGTAGCTCGGCCACCAAATCTATTTCCATTGCCGCTTTGCTTGAAATGAATAAAGAGGACCCCAACAAAGAACTTACTTCTAAGAAGGACGTTAAAGGCTCCCCAAGCTTTTTGAAAAAGGGATCTCAGAAGTTAAGGTCCTTACTTAGTCTCACTCCAGAAAAGAGAGAAAACCTGTCTAAGAACAAGGCGCCCGCGTTTTACAGGATGTGTAGTAGTTCTGACACGTTGGTTTCTGAGGGTGAAGAGAATCAGAAGCCCAAAAAATCCGAGCCCCGAGTTGATTCATCTCCTAGAAGAAAGCGCTCATCCTCGTCAAACTCTCAAGGCAGCATCCACAAGAGCAAGGAGGACATAGCAGTTACCACATCTCCAGGGACAAATTCCCAAGCAGAGGAAAGTAGGAGAACAGCGCCTTCTCCCAGCCCTGTTCAAAGGAGGTTTTCAGAGAGAGCAGGAGATGCCTCTGCCCCAAGATTTAACACAGAACAAATCCAATACCGTGATTCCAAGGAGACCAGCGCAGTCATTGCTCCTCAAAGACGGCCAACCTCTTCTCCAGTGCCAAAGTCCAGTGAGCTCCTGAGATCGCATTCAACCAACCAGCGAGTTTACAGTCGATTTGAGCCATTTTGTAAGATTGAGAGCGCTATTCAGCCAGCAAGCAGCATGACAAACACACATGTCAACCGCCCAGAAGTCAAACCCACAGCTACCGGCAGCAGCTATGGCAGGTCCAGCCCCATGCTGAATTACAAGACTGGTGCTTATCATTCATACTCCCCCAATGAAAATAAGTTCCGAGGATTTATGCAAAAGTTTGGAAACTTCATCCACAAAAACAAGTGAAGTACTTTCATTTCAAATCGCAATTCAAATATGAAATGAATGTGGCTGTAAATATTTATCCTAAGAGTCTGCACAGATTTTTGTACCATGCCAAGAGTGTTCTGTATTAGAAGTGGGGAATGTGTAGTAGTGTACAGAAAAGTTAATGTTATGTGGTAAAATAAGGACTATCTCAGTAAATGCATTACAATGTTGTTTTTAAATGGCAATAGGTTTAACAAAAGGATGGGATTCATTGTTTTCTATCTATAAAAATCTCAAGTGTGAATTAGAAGAATCTTCAGAAAAGAGACTACAGATATATTTTTGATCACTCCTTCTGAAGTCTTCATTTAAAAACACTTCAGATTACTTACCTCTGGTGCTTTGTGATATAACTTCCACTTTTTTTGTATTTTCAGAAATATAAGAAAATAGAACAAAGCCTTTTTTGATAAATTCTGTAGAATAACGAGATATTTTATTGTTTTATTATCTTTCCTATGCAGCATTGCACAAAAAAGAGTATCATTTGAATTATGTAGGCCAGTGAGTTTTATTGAGCCTGAATGCTGGTATACTACACACACACACACACACACACACACACACACACACACACACACACACACACACACAGCTTTGCACTTTTTCATCAGCTGCCTTTTTTTTTATAGTCATGCCTTAATTAAAATTTAAAATAGGTGAGCACAATGTGGGAATCCTCCCCTTCTACCTATCAAGCCTTCTAAAACTGTTAGGATTCTTCTGAATCTTGTGTTAAATTGACATGGCAAATGCAGAAATGCTGTTTGAAAATGGTTCACTTTTTTAAAGTTTGGGTTGAATGTGGTGTGATGACATGCTCTTTCATGAGGGTTGGATGGTGGCAGTGAGAACCAGGCCTTGTATCTCATTATGGTATAGACAGGCTGGATGGAAACATTTCCATACCTTAGCTTGATGGTTATATTTAGGTCACCAGATACCATTTGTCATTTTTTAAAAGAGCAAAAACTTCTTGTTTATTGCAGAAACTTTGACATGGATTTGTTTTATGTACAACAAGAAGCAGAAGATAGAGTGGAAGAATATTTTGATATTTTGAGGCAAGGTTTCTCTGTGTAATAATCCTGGTTGTCCTAGAACTTGTTTTGTGTAACAAGCTGGCCTTGAACTCACAGAGTCTGCCTCCCTCTGCCTCCCAGGTTCTGGGATTAAAGGCATATGCCACCAATGCCCAACTTCAAATATCTTATTTAATATTTTCAAGATTGCTAAGCAGAAAACTTAATAAGCAATTTTCAGTTGATACTAACAAACATCAATGTTCTGTTTTTTAAATAATTTACCTTAGAAGAATACTGATAGGAGAGACTATAGAATGGAACACCTAACATTTCCTGAGCTACAACCAGGTCATGCCTTACAAACTTGTTCCATCACATGTTTATGATAGCATTGCCACTGATGTTTATAAATTATTGAGATTTCACTTGAAATATGAGACTTGGAGATAATGTTCCTAGTGACATAACTAATAAATAATGGCTCTAAATTACAGCGTTTCTGCATGACATTAGCATTCTGTCCCAATTGGTTCAATATCCTGCCCTATTAGATTAGAAGAAAAGATTTACTCCCTAACTAGGAATCAACCAAGAAATGTTTAGTTGAATTTCACCAGACAACAGGGCAAAGTAGGATTAGATGATTATAGTAGGTAAAGATAGAAGAGGAAGGGGAGAATCAGTTCTTATGGACTTAGGCAGGGCCAGTTTTAATTGCTTTGTGCCATTTCCATCTCCTGGTTGGCCTCTGAAAATAAGAGGAACCAGGGTGAGTTGTAACATTTGGGGCTCTGAGGAAGAAAAAGATGTGGAGGGGGAGAGAAGTCCGATGTTGTATATTTACAATAATCTCAGGAAGGACATCCATTTAGATAAAACTACACTTCACAAAAGCTAGTGCATGCTTCATGATATGCATGGCACCGGATGCTATAGGCTGGATTTCAGCACAGAGCCTGTGTTTTAGTCTAGCATTCTGCACCTGGTCACTTCATATCTGCTTTGAAGTGTTAATTATTGCCTTACTCTTTTGCTCATTCTCTTATTATAAACTACAGATGTACACTGGTACCTACAGAGGAATAATATTTTACGAATAAGAATGTAGAATAGGTACCCAGTTTCACATCATTACAAAAGAAGCTTTATAACCTCCCCTTGTAATTGAGGAAATTGCCAAGTTTTGCAGTTCTGGTCTAATTTGGTCAGAAATGTAAGCCTGACGACCTTGAGACTGACCAGACTCCTTCCTTGTCACAAGAAAGGAGCCAATGCATAGAAACTGTGACTTAAAAACAAGCTTTAAGAATACATATTTCCTTATAATTAGACCAGAAGTTCATATGTAAGTTTAGTGGCACTTAATAGAGCAACTTCTATAATTTCTGAAAATACAGTTAGCTTGTAGAAGCATCCTTTTAAATTGTTACTGGTATCTTCTTTGGGAATGGGAAGTGGAGGATGGTTTATTCCATCTGCCTGATAGATAATTTAGCCTTTTACAATACAGATTTATTCTCCTCGATCTCTTTTTTTATTATCTTCCTTCTAATGTCTTCCGTTGGAAGCACCCTTATGTCTGAATATGTACATAGTTTTCCAAAATATCTTAACCAAGAAACTCCCCACTTTTAAGACTGAGAAAACACATAATACTTCAAAAAATTAGCCATTGTTACAGCTTTCACTAGATATTTCTCACATTTGGTGGATACAATTACAGACAATATGTTTTCTCTTTTACTTTCCATTCTAATATTGGTAGAAAGATGTTACTTATAAGTATTTTGATATTAAACTTTGGCAATGCACTTCTTCCTCTACATAGGGCTTTAGTTTCTAAACAGAAGTACAAGGAACTGAATGTGATTCCTAAGTGGCCCTTGACAAGTAGCATATTAGCACAAGAGATACTTATCCTAATATGTGAATATCCTTCCACTGTAATGGCATAGCCAGACCTTGCCATGGTGTGTTAAATTATGGGTACATGTCAGTCTTTGCCTGTGAATAAATACGGACAAAGGCTGAACTTTGGGTGCATTCAGTTTCACTTTACTCAAGAACTATTTGGTGTCACTATTATTCCATGGATACTTTTGTTTTATGAATATCTGTTGTCTTTTAATGTGCCTTTAGCTAAGGGGTTTAAAGTAGAACCATTGTTTTACATTAACTAAACTCATGATTAATGTGGGATTTTGTTTTAAAAAATTACAGTCTCAGTGATGAAATTATAAACAAATCAATGTATTAGCTTTTATACACATAGAATATTACAAAAATATCTTATTCCAAATTAACTCTTTGATTAATAATGAATATTAAATAATTTTGTACAAATACTATATTGTTGAGTTTTTTATCATTATACTTTAGATTTCTTTGTTCATGTACATTCCTCCATTAGAAACTATAATCAGGGACTTAGATGATAATTTATTGCAAGTATTTCTCAGGGGTCAAGCTGATGGATCAGTGGATAAAGCACTTGATGCACAAAAATGTGAGGGACAGAGTTTTGATCCCCACCACCCACATAAAAGCCAGAAGGGTGTAGTGTAATCCCAATGCAGGAGGAAAAGACAATCTGGGAGGAGCCCATGGACAAGCTGGCTAGCTAGACTTGCTCAATTGATGAGCTCTACACTCAGTGAAAGGCTCCACCTCAGAAAATGAAGCAGAGACTGATCTAGGAGACACGATGTCAACTTCTGGCCTCCACACGCACATGCATGTGCCTGCATGAACATTTACAAGCATGAACTTCAACACATGCAAAACAACCTCTAAAATGCATTTGATAAACTCATCTTTCATATAGAATTTTATCCATAATTGATAAACATTAACAATACTTTTCACTGTACATGTTCATTTAGTCAAGAATGGGCCATGTGCATGAAGTAATGTATACAAATACCTATCCCATCACTCTGAAGCTATAAAGTTTGCCTCTATCAAGAACTTAGCAGAATGGATTTTTTTCACTATTTATCCTCTGGGACTGAAATTACAGATGGCTGTGAGCTTCCGTGTGTGCTGGAAATTTAACCTAAGTTTTCTGGAAGAGCAACCAGTGCTCTTAGTCACGGAGCCATCTCTACAGCCCTCTTCCAGATCTTTAGGTCCTTGAACAATTGTGTATATCTTCAGTGCATTGCTGTTCTTGAATTTCTCACCTTTGCTGCAGCATCAAGGTGCTGATTTCCAGCTATAATTCTTTCACATATTGCATGGAATTTACTTGCTTGTTCACTGGCATTAAATATTATTGTTGTGTATACACATACGGTGTGCTCAGTTCCTTCCCTTCAGGAGTCAGGCATCTAGTATGCCTTGTGAACATTCACAGTGAAGGTACAGTGTACAGAAAAGAGACAAGACAGAAGGCACTCAAGTACAGAAAATACATTCTTACACAGTGAAGATTGTGATTTGCTCTTGGCTTTTATGGGAATGCAAAGGAGAACAAAATTGTTAGAAAAGAGGTTTCAGGACAAATAATGAGGGACTGTATGCCTGAAGCCAGAGTTTACACTTCATTTTGAAAGCCCTAAAGAGTCTTTGACAGTTTTTATGGATGGAATGACATTCAAAATTAGGGAGGCAAACTAAATCTCAGGAAGTGATACTAATGATAGATGGAAAGGAATTGCAGAGATTTAGTATCTACTAAGAAGCTATTGTGGTATTGCAGTACACTCTTAAAAAGGTGTTTCATTACCCTTTTATATGGGTAATGAAGTATTACATTCATATTGTAAGATGACTATGAATGAAAGTCATAACTATTTCAGAATTGGAATAAAATTGATAACTATATTTGTCTATCATTTTACTAATATTGGCACATAATTGTGAATATTATGATTTTCTACTTTGTACCAATATCGCATAATAACCAGGGAGAATGTATGTCATCTTGTTGAAAAAGAGATTAATTTCAATTAATTCAAAGACTATTCGCTTTGGAAACTACATAATGTTTTCAATTGGTATAGGGCATACAGAGATTGAGGTCAGGTGTGTCTCCTATATATTGTGTCATCAATATATCTTGGAGGTTCAGAGACATTCAGTTCAATAATTACTAATGGAGTGACCTGGAGCTTGGGTGAAAAGTAAGACAGTTGTGGAAATTATCTCTACTGAAGCACATCAATGAAGTGGATAATAACACTGGCTAAGTGTCCATGGAGAGATAGAAAAGAAAAGAAATAAAAAGTTGAGGATAGAGATAAAAGCAAATGGCAGATTTCTCAGCCTTGTGTTTTCCACTTTCATACATATAATACATGAATCTTCTCTGGTTGCCTTGCATGATGGGAGCTCATACTCAAAGGCACAATTGTTTCAAAGAGGATCTTCCTGCTTGGTATTATTTTCTGATGATGTTACATATTTCACAACACAGTCGGATTTGCCAAAAGAACCTGCAGCAGAATTAGGTAGAATGATTTAGAATGTAGATCTAGAACTAATGGCTTCTGAAGTGTACTGGGTGTTGTAGAGTTACTCAGCTTGAGATAATAAGACAAAACTTAAGGCATTGGCAGTATCTCAGGAAGCCATAAGAAATAATCCAAATCAGAATTCAACATTTGAAACTTTCAACAAAGACTAAATCCTCAAAACTGGCATGTGACTCCACATGACCTAATGAGTTTACTCAGAGCAGTGGGCTCAGAACAGGAACAGGAACATTGGAGCAAGAACAGGAACAGGAACAGGAACAGGAACCACTCTGTGAAGCAAGTCTGCCTCCTGTGACCCCCAGATTAGAATGCCAATCCGCTGTTCCTGTGAAGGCTAGAATGGAAATATTGGTAAACTATGAAGCAGAAATGAGTGCTACCTACTTCCTTTCTGCCCTTCTCTGCCTCACTCTCCACTCCAGCTCTTAAAAGCAACCAGTGTTCATGTCCTAGACAGTTCCACACCCCCTGACTTCACTCACTCACTTAGTATTTATTCCACTCTTATAAACAGTAGGAAGTAACCAGAGGCAAATACTTCAGTGGACATTTGATCCTTTGTTGAAATAAAAAGAAATATGAGAGAAAATTATTATTTTACAGGAGCAAACTTATTCTCATAACTTGATAAAGTGTATCAAGCCCAGACAGTAGGTGTGACCTGAAATGTAGGACATAATATTGTACCCTATGCTGTGGATCTGAGATTTCCTTGAATGTATCTGACTATGATTCATATCACTTTCAGACACCAAAAGAAGAGTAAAGTAGAATTTTACTGAAGTATAGAAGTAGGACAGACATGACACTGTGTAAATTACTCTCCAATTTATTTGAAGGAAAAATTAACACAGAGAAACTAGTAGTATTTGGACATTGTATCTCCCTTAAAATCTCTAGTTGTCTGCTTGCTGATTGCCTGGTAGATTTGCCAAATGTTTCCATCAGTGAGGACCGGAGGCTCTAGAGCTTAGACATACACACATCTAAGTAACATAGAGAGTATATTAAAGCATAGATTTTCATATCTTAGCTCCCAAGGGTGAGATGCCCATTCTCAGCCAGTAGGTCTGCAGTGGAGTCCAAGAATTGTGTTCCAGTAAGTACCTGGGTGGTGCTCTCAGGTTGCCTTGCCATTTCAATTTGAGAACTACTAACCACTAAGTACTTAATATGTAAAATATAGATATGACTGCCATCATCATTTAGTGATGCTGAGAAAATTAACCTTAATAATTCCAGGAAAGGATACATTACAATAGTAAATATTGAAATCATAGCATTTAACTGAAGTAGATTTCACAAAGGTAAAACAATATGTGCTTCTTTGAAATAACTTGTCTCTTTTTCAATATCCTACAATGTCTGCACTCACACACACTTACATACATATGGTATGAGATTTCTTTGACTTGCTAAGAGGTTATGTTCTCAGTCACCTCTCTTTCTCTCCTTGCTGCCTTTCTCCCTCACTTCTAACACTATCGTATTAAGTAGAACATAACTCTCGCCGAAATACTTTTAATGTCAAATTGTCTTTCACTGGATCAATCGACTGTGATTCTCAATAGGATCACTACTGTCTTAACCACCAGCTCTGTTTAGGCCTGATTTATCATCGTAAATTAGAATGGAGAATGCTATTTACCAATCTATATCAGCAAAATTAATTTGATGCACTTAAGATATAAAATATTGATATGAATCCCAGTACAGTGTCCTGGATATGATAAATGTTTAGCAAATACAAGAGATGGAGAAGAAGAATAGTGTCCTCATGCACCTCAAATGCATCTGGACAGATGAGTTCAGACTACTACCCCTCATGTTACTTGTTCTGATGACATGTTCTTCACAGACATATCCATTCTACTTTTCTTCAAAGTTCCCTTTTTCTTATATATATTTCCTAAAATCAACATACAAGTTGATAACATACAAATTAAAACATACAACATACAAATTAAACAAGATTTTATTCCCAATTCATATTTATCTTATTTTTGCTTTCATGGAGGACAAATGCAAATCAGAGATTAAAAATGAATGGTTGTTTTGGTTTAACACTCATGCAAACACAAATTCTTTTTTTCTGTCAAAGAAAAATCTGCATTACATATTTCTACCACTAGAAGTTTTATTAGATTCAAATGAATCCATTTTAATTTATCATGTATGTCAATGCATGAAATTTATTTGTTATGATTTGATATCTGTATTTAAAAGTTTAGAGATGCACAGACATAGATAGATAATTGGTGTCATAAAAGAAGTGTATACCATAAAATACAAAGAACACTGGGACAAGAACACATAGTAGGATGAAAATCCTATTTTAATTACCTTTTAGGATTGCTTAGTTTTGAAGTGAGTTTTGTGCAGATAATAAGTTGAAAATATTCAAAAGCAAGAAAAAAACTACTTAGGAATATCTGATTTACATTCAATTTCAAAGAAACAATTTACCTTATAAATTTACTTTCATCATGGGAGGTATTAGTTAAATTAAGCAATGTTCTCCAACAAGGTGAGTTATTTACCCACACTACCATGCCACAAAAATAGAACTTTTGTGGCCCCGTATAATAATAGTTGAAGTTGAAACTTTTGAAGTGGGCAGCAATGAAGTAAATGAAGATGATCCATTTCTTTTTAGTTTGATCATTCTAACATCAAGTATTATTTATTGTATCAATAAGTTATGAATTTCCTAATGCATAAGTCTACATATAGTCATAATACTAGATAGTAGCTTGTTCCTGTACCCTAGTCTATGCGTCTGTTCCGAGAAAGGCATCTGTGCCTTACTTAGCCTTTTGTGGCCACGTACCTTAACATACTGTTAAAATATGTCCTGAAACAAACAACAATATCATGCTTGAGGGGGAATAATCAACTGTACAGCTGTGCAGTTATTTTAAACTATTATATTTGAATTTAAAAGTCAGCACTGCTGGTGGGAGTGCCAACTCATACAGCACTTTGGAAATCAGTATAGGAACTCCTCAGGAAAATGGGAATCAGTCTACCACAAGACCCAGCAATTCCACTCTTAGGAATATACCCAAAGGATACACATTCATACAACAATTACATCTGTTCTACTATATCATAGCATCATTATTTGTAATAGCCAGAACATGGAAGCAACTGAAGAGTGGATAGAGAAAAGGTGATACATTTACACAATGGAGTACTATTCAGTGGGAAAACATAGACTTTTGAAATTTGCAGGCAAATGGATGGCACTAGAAGAAACCCTCCTGAGTGAGGTAACCCAGTCACAAAAAGACAAACGTCATATGTACTCGCTCATATATGGATTTTAGACATGGATCAGGGGAGTGCCAGCCTACAATCCCACTGCCAGAGAGTCTGGGAAACAGAACCTTCATCCAGTGACTGATGGAAGTAGAGGCAGACACCCATAGCTAAACCCTGAACTGAACTCCCGGATTCCAGTGACAGAGAGGAAGGACTGATGAGCCAAAGGGTCAAGACTGGGCTTTTTTTAATCCACAGCAACAGTTGACCTGAACAAGGGGGAGCTCTTGGACCCCAGAATGATGGCTGAGAGGCCAGCATGGGACTGATCCAGACCCCCTAAATGTGTGTGTCAGTGAGGAGACCTAGGCAATCTATGGTGCCTTGGGTAGTAGATCAGTATTTATCCCTGGCACACAATTGGACTTTGGGTGCCCATGCCACAATGAGGGATGCTCTCTCAGTCTGGACTCTTGGGGAAGGGCCTAGGCCCCACCCTGGATGAAATGACAGACTCTGGAGATCCCCCCCATGGAGGGCCT